GTGTGTGTGTGTGTGTGTGTGTGTGTGTGTGTGTGTGTGTGTGTGTGTGTGTGTGTGCTGCATGCGAGCGATGGAGATTCATATGAAAGACACACTTCTGTGGTTCAGCAGGAGTTCCTGTTATTGTTATCATCCAACGCCTTTGCTGTTCACTTCTATTGTGTTCGTGCTTTTATGTAACACGACTTGAAAACCTGTAACACAAGACGAGGTACAGCTGGACCAGCCCCATGCACTATATTACCAGCTGCTATGATGCATGTGAAGAGTTTATTTTGCAAAATCACATAACTCCATGTTGTTGTTTGCTTGAGGTGATATCAGTCAAACTGAAGCTGAGTGGATTGGACTCAGTAGAAATGACAAAAACAGTTTAATTGATATTGTCTCGGGTTTTCTGAAGGTTTTGTGAACATGGAGTTATCTGTTTTTGCAAATGAACTAGACCGGTTTTTATTATCATATGATCTTATTCCACTTTCTTTGCTCTTCCTACATTCTAAAAAGTAATTAATAACGATCCTATTCCTAAAATTTTAATTAAATGAATGCTTGCAAGATAAAAAATGCCATGTTAGTAATAGAAACACCTTAATAATGTGTGTAATTTCAACTCAGATTTCTGCATTAGTTGATTTAAAACTAAGTTCAAGTTGCGGTAACTTAGTGAAATTGTCTTGAGATGACTTCAGAATTTCATTCCCCGCTTAACGTGCCTGGAAAAAAAACCTGTATAAAATATAAGCTTAATTTAAATCATTAAATACTGTACATATCACATAGAATTTCAGCGCTACAGCAGGTGACCACAGAGCCTTTCTGCAAGGCAGACATTTCTAAAGTTACTCACAAAAACAGCAAAAATATGTCAAAGGATACTCCAACATTTTAACAATTGCACTCCAAATTTTACTTTAGTCTCGACAGTTTTCTGATCACCCAAGCCATTTGTTGGTCCATATTTTGCATAATTAGATAGCTAGCACTACAGAAATACTGTTCAACGTAATGTTGATAATAAAATGCAGCACGAGTTAACATATTTGTCATTAAAGAGCAGATATCTGAATAAGACTGGTGGTTAAAATACCTTTGATTGTAGATAAAAGAGCAATTCCTCTAACTCAGTGTAGTGTGTTGGCTGAATATAATGTCATTAAAGGTTTTAATAACTCGTAACGATTGATGCAGACTGCTGCATTCATTTCTGTTGTTGAGCCCAAACGTTATTCTTTAGAGTGAAGTTGTGCCATGAGAAGGTTTCAGTGTTTCTAAGCTGCTTGTGCTGTACTTGTTCTGCTGGTAGTGCTTACATACTTCAGCAAAGTTGGGTGTTTAAGACTTTTACTTGTAGAAAGTATTAATAAACTGTGGTACTTTAATTTAGGTAAAATATTCAAATACTTCATCCACAACTGCAAACCTTCAGCACGTCTGTCTTCACACGACTACAGCTTTAATCTTGATAAAAAACACGAAGAAGTTTGAACATTTAACACCGATCCTGATCGTCTTTACATTGACTACCAGTGCTGGTTAGAGTTGGTTTTTGAGGCTCTTCTTTTAACTGGTAGGACCTTGCATGGCCTTACATGACCCAACTTATCTGACTTATCTGAGTTAATTATACCAGATACACCGGCACTCCCTCTTTACTCCCTCAATGCGGGTGTCCTGATCATTCCTTCAGTTATCAAATAATCATTTGGCTTCAAAACATTTGCCTACTATGCGTTCTATCGATCTTAAATCAAGGATGTAGGTGTAGGGCGCCCCTGTAGCTCACCTAGTTGAGCGGGCGACCCATAAACAGGGGCTGTAGCTCCCCGACGTCGTGGGTTCGACTTCCGCTCACGACCCTTTGCTGCAGGGCTTTCCCCCCTTTTCCAGTCTATCTCTACTGCTGTAAAGTAAAGGCAAAAAGCCACAAAAATATATTAAAAAAGAAAAAAGAATGCATCCATTCTCTATAATTTATTGTAAATTTCCCCTGGCGTAGGCAGAAATAAAGGATCATCTTATCTTAACCCAGAATATTTATCACTTTTTCAAACATCCCTTTTAACATTGGTGTGGTTGCTTCATTTTCATTTTAATTATTTATTCCCGTGTGTATTCGTTTTAATTGTACAGTGTATTGGGCTGTATGGTGATTCTGCACTTTGCATAATACTGTTTATGGATCTAATGATCTATCTCTTTGTGTGTCCGTCTGTTCTTTGATATGTAAATTATGACTCCTCGAAGTAATCTCTGTCTTTATGTGTTTTCTTGTTTTGTTTTGTAAATTCAGGATGGCACCAGAATCCTAAAAGTGAAAGTCATTGCTGGAATTGGACTGGCCAAAAAAGACATCCTTGGAGCCAGGTAAGCAGGAGAAACTTCAGGCCTGCTTGTGTTGTTTGTTTCATTATTACTCAATCTGCCAATACGCTTCTCGATTGAATCATTGAAGCGTCGTCAGAGAATAGATTTGTCCAGTAATCTGTCTAAATCCAAATAGATTAGTTTTACCGTCACACAAATGCGCTGATATCTGAAATTACAAAGCAGTAAATCCTCACATGGGACAAGAGGAAACCAGACATTTTTTCTTAATGATGCACTTGTTCTTGGAGCTAATTTTTAGTCACGTTCTAATAAATTCTGCAGGTGATGCCATGCTTGTCCAGCTTGATTCATAAAGCTGAACAACCACAAGTTGCTGAAACTATTGCAGAGCCGCCTTCCACTGAAGCACAAATCATTTAGTGTTCGATGAATCTGATTGAGTCCATTGTTCTCTTCCAAATCCCTTAAAAAACCCAAAGGACTTTTTTTTTCTGTATTTTCAGCAAGAAACCCTTTATTAACCCTGGAATATCATAGTTTATTTTCTTTAAATGTTTAGATCTGGTCCGGTTTTTATTTATTTTCTTCATTCAGTGAAAAAGATCTTCCTGGAATTTTCTAAATAAACAACTTGAACTTGCATAGTGCTGGCATTTCCTTAAAGAGCAGTCAGTCATAACAAGATTACACTTGTTGGGAATTTAATCCATAAAAAAAGCTTTTAACTGTTCCCCAAATTGCAAATGTAACTTTCTACAGTATTTGTATCCATGGTTTTTACTCTACTAAACATCTCTATAATCCAACTATAACAGTCACTTCTAATTAGGAGTAAATGAAAAGCTGATTTTGTTCATTGCTTGAGGACTTGATGCCCGTATATAAACTGCATGTTCATGCTATGGATAAAATTGCTGCGTTAGTATCGCTCTTATGTAACGGCTGTCATCTAATACATTACTAACGGCTGATTGCTGCCAGCGAGGCTCGGTAATGGAGTTTGTGTTGTTTCTGGTGGATGTGGTTTTCTCAACAGTGCATAAAATCATTTTAAAATAGCAATTACAGTCTACACTGCATGACCACAGGCTTGCTGCAGCTACGATGTTAATGTTTCTCGGGGCCGACCGCAGTGAATGATCTCACCGAAGAACAATGCAAAGTGTTTCACTTCCCTAAGAGATAAAGAAGAGGCTCATTTCAAAGGGGCTGCATGAACCGCTAATACAAAGAGAGCAGAAGACAGATCATAGCTGCCTATAAATGGATGTCTACACGTCTGAATCTTACTGTGTCTCTGTTGCAGTGATCCGTACACTCGGATGTCCCTCTATGACCCCGTCAATGGAGAAATCGCAGGTCTTCAGACTAAAACGATTAAAAAGGTGAGAATGTGATCACCTGCATTTGCACTTACACTTGTTTTATTTGTGGACTTTGTGGATAATTCTTTCCTTTTCTTACTTTTTGTAACCTGAAGACACTCGACCCAAAGTGGAATGAAGAATTCTTCTTCAGAGTGAGTGAAACTTAAAATAAATCACTACTTCATGTTTCAAACTGCATGTCAAACCTCACCATAGCATGTAATAATTCCTGATGTTGGTTTAGTTGACTGTGGCTCATGCTAACAGTGATTTCATTGGGCGATAAAGCAAACTTGACTTTACGGATGACGTTATGTTGCAGGTTGATCCCAGTAAGCATCGTCTGCTGCTGGAGGTGTTTGATGAGAACCGCCTGGTAAGTTATGGATTTATGTTCAAGTTGCTGTTAACTAAGTTGTCTTGGGCAAATTTTTTCTTTCCAGTTTCTTTTGTTCTGTTTTTTTTTTTTCCTCTCTGCAACATCTGTTTAAATACATCTTCACTGAAAGTAGTTGGATCCCAAGCGTGGACTAATATAGTACATCTCTGCTGATTGGAGTCTGCTCCAAGTGAGCCAGGCATCTTTAAATGGGACGGGTTATTAGTAGCATCTTTGTCATCAGTGTGGTATTGCATTGCAGTTTTGCATTTCCAAGTGAAACTGAATATCTGGGTAGGTTTTAGCTTCTCAAAAGATTTTTAATTAAATAAATTAGATTTGATTGCTAAAATGTGGGACGAGTTGAGTAAATACTGCAGAGCTGACCAGTTTTACTGGAGCAATAGTAAGAGGATGCAGGGAACTAGCAGTTAGCCTAAACAGTGCTATAAGGCCAGGAGGAGGATAACAGTAAAATAAATGAGCTTGGTCTCAACTACATTCTGCATTTTCTCAGGTTTACCTAAAAACCAAACATATCTCTTACCAGGATACTAGCTGCCAGTCAAGCTACCAGTGGAGTGTGTTTTTATATGACGGCCGTGTTAGCGAGTCGCCCCGAATCATATTTGACTAGATATCTGACCACGTCCCACGGTGTCATCTGACATAATTTTTATGTTATAGAAAAAGAAAAGAGGGCTTTTCATGTAACAAGAGATAAATGAATGACACAGGGACACAGGATTAGACGTGTTTACTTCATCTCTTCTACAATTCTACAGTTTCATTGAGCAGACGCTTTTATCCAAAGCGACGTTCATCTGAGAGGAGATACAACACAAGCAAGGATCTAGTCAGGAGAAAACAATCTAGATAAGAGCCACAGAACAAATTCAAGTGTGACAGGGCATTGATGCCAATAGCAGGCTGTAGGGAGGTAATAGGAATTTTTTTTCCTCTTGTCTAACTAACCTGCATTGGCAGCGATACACACCAAAAAGTGTGTCAACCGTCGCACTGTGTGCATTTTTACCACTTGGCTAACTTTGCTTACTGTTGTCTAAATAGTCCACCTGCATGCTTGACAGTCATTTGAGCGCATGACCTTCATGGACACAGCGATTTCTCAGTCTTGCGCTCATTTCAAGCTGTGCTCACTTGGAGTTGGCTCCAGTCTGGCCTATTTAATGTCAGAAAATAGTTTGCAATGCTTGAGCAACTTTTCAAAGCCGAAGAAAAACATCTTTAAATTCTTGTCTGGCTAACTGTAAAATCGTTTTTCTTGGCTAATCGATGCAGCTCTAGTTCGCTTAAAGGTATTAAAAAGCAAATCTGAATTCTAACCTTCCACCAAAGCTCGTCTTTAGTGCACATCACTTCAGTACGGCACAGACTAAAACAGGGAAAACAGCCATTTGTGTTCATAAATGTTCTAAAAAAAAGAAATCGAACTTGCTGCGCATGACAGACCACAGTTATAATTATGGTATCATGTGTTTTGACAACGGTATTGTGTTTAAAATCTCAGGGCAAGTCCTGCATTGACAGATATACTGTCTCTGTAGACTGGTTTTAAAAATATCTCATAGAAAGTAAAGTATTGAAAATCAATTTCAAGAGCTTCCCCGTCTGTGTCTTGATTAATAGTTTGAACACACGAAACAAAAGTCAAAGACAAGCAAGCCGTAAAGAAGTCCAGCAATTTAAAACAGTGATATTAGTAGTAGAGTAGTTTTAAGCTAATTATATTTGGACATAAACATCATCTGGATGCAGCTTATTTTTTATTCCATTAAACACCATGAAAACCACACAAGGAAATGTGTCATGTTTTTGTAGATAAGGGTCCAGTCAGCGCACGTTTAACTTTGGTTTGTGTACCTGCCAAAGATACGGCGGCCCTTATTTTGCCACGACATGTGTGATATTGTTGGAAAACTGGAACACTCTATTAATCCCAGCTGTAAATACGGGCAAATCTGGCCTGTATTGTGGATGGTGGCGATATTATGTGTTGTGATGTAGCTAAATGGTTTCTGTTGGCAGCGGGTGAGGACTCTTGTTTGAGGTTTTTGTGCTCGTAAATCTTTCATGACTCTCCTTTTATTTTTTATTTTTTAATTATTATACTGCTTGGCTGCTTCTGAATCATGATAAAACATTAAAAAGGAAAAATTTTAGCGAGAGATAGAAACAAAAAAGGAAAGGTTAGTTACTGCACATGTTTATATTTCAAGTAATTGCCAATTATTGTGATAATAGTTGGTTTGAGTGTTTTTTAAAGACAAAAAAGTCATTATAGCTTCCTAAATATGCATATTTAAAACTGAATATCTTTGAGTCACACACAGAACAGGCCTTTAGAGGACATCATCTCAGGCTTTGGGAAACAGTGCTCAACGTTTTTTCAAATTTTGGCACAATTTATAGACCGAACAACTAATCAACAATGAAAATAATCATTAGTTTCATGCAGCTCGAATACATTCACATGCAAACACACAAACAAGTGTGTACTTGTAAGTTAAGTCAGGCAACAGGAGAATCATGTGAATCTAGATGTCGACGTCTAGTGTTCTCTTATTGCTGCCGGTGCACAGTAACGTTAAAGAGCTGAGGATTGCCTGCTTGTAAGAGGACAACAGTGGAGCCGCTGACCCAGTTTCGTACTGGTCTGACACACAGCAGGTCCTGGGACACATGAGCAGGACTTCTATCTGAGACTCGCTGTAAAGTCTCTGTGCCTGAACACAATGTAAACACAGCCGAGCAAAGAGTGGAGTTTGACCACACCAAACCGTACCTCCTGCAGTTTTATTGAATGTTAAATCTAGGTAATTATTAATGCATCTTCATCTCTTGCACCCATGCACACCAGATTCATTGGGGTTTAAACCGCAATTTAGCTGTACGCAAAGTTGAGCACGTGCAGCCCAGCCTTGGATTAGTTTGTCCTGATGGATTTTATACAACATATTTTCATCCACTGGCACACAGGCCAACATAAACTCTTGTCTTTGGAGATTTCTGTCTGCTTGACATACACTTTTTTATGCAAACCAAAGTAACTTCTAAGTCTCTGTACTGGAATGAACAAGCGTCACGCCGTTGTCCAGTTGTCTTAAGTTGCTTTGCACTCTGTTGTGTTGTCAGCATTTAGACCTGTGTCTTGTTGTTTACTGTTGTAATGAGTTGGGCTTCATTACAACTTGCAAACTCCCCACCTGGGCCAATCACTGCCTTGTCAACCTGTCCTACTGGTAGAGTCTGCTCGGTGATTTTTAACAAGAACCAGCAAATCAGACGAACAAGTCAGAGCACAGCCATGTGCTCGACAGCAGCTTGTAAATGTTTATTTAAAGAGAAAAATCCAGTAGTTTGTGCATAAAGTGTCTTATTTGTCAGAAGTTCTCTGCAAAGAACTAATCATGCTTTGCTGTGAAAACAAAATCATGTGACTGCTTTGACCCTCTCAGCTGATGCATTCCTGATTGTTGTAATTCCCTTGTGCTGCTTTGTAATTCTGTTTTCTTAGTTCATTTAAATAAGAGCTTGTACAGCATTAACAGTTCTCCAAGATTGCGCAAGCTTTGGCTAAGACTGTTCTTGTACTGTCAATCATTAGGTCACAGTAAAAAAATAAATAAAATCATAAAGCAGTCAACACACACACACACACACACACACACACACGACACAAGCGCATATCGTCTGTGTGAACTCAGCTCCTCCTTCGCTCTGTTGTGTTTGTTTGGCTGAATGTTTCTAGAACGTGTGTCTACGTCACAGATTTACAGTCACGTGGTGAAATAAAACTGGGTGTGACTGGCTCAGGTCTGCCTTGTCATGCTCCAGGTGGAAGTTTTGTACAAGTCTGGAGGGTGTGTCAGTGCTATGGGTGTATTCCTGGGTATGTGTGTGTGTCGCTTAATGCTCTGACATGCGGAAAACTGAGCAGAGAAAACAGCGACCTTGTTGATTTTTGAATAGAATCAGATCTTCTGGTCGGCTGCTCACAAGATATGTTCAGTGGGCGATTGTTGTTCACCAGTAATACATCCTACGAACTCACTGTTTCTTGTAGTGGCTTTATGAGATTTCTCTGATCAGCATTTTGTGCATCTTGTCTCTTAATTTTGCAGATAAATCTTGATTTTATTTAGTTTTTGAAACCCTATGACTTTACCTCAATCATCAAGCCAGTTTCACAAAAAAAAGGTGAAGGAGACCCCATAGTTTAATCTACCAGCAGTGTGGTTATTCAAGCTGTTTTACCACCAGTGGGAGTCGTGACAGACTCACAGAATCACCTGTTGATGACATTTTAAAAAGTAGAAATAAAAAATAAGATTTGTCTTGTTGTTGTTGAAGATTTCCTTTAGAATATCACATACTCGGGCGCCCCGATAGCTCACCTAGTTGAGCAGGCGACCCATGAACAGGGGCTGTGTTTCCCCGACACAGCGGTCATGGGTTCGAGTCCCGCTCACGACCCCTTGCTGCAGGTCTCGCCCCCCTTTCCTGTCTCTCTACTGCTCTAAATGAAGGCAAAAACCCCCAAACATATATTTAAAAAATTACATACTCTCATTGTGATGTCTCTGTAGGACTTCCAGTGACAGCATGAATAGAGGGAAATGCACATGACATCAACCATATGCAGACGTTGCCATGGTTACCCCCTCTTGAATTATTTGCCACCATGAATTTATATGAGCTAAAAACAGGGATACACTGATAAAGGCTGCTTTGCAACCAACTGCACAAACAGATTCAGGAAGAATTAAATTTGTCTAGATTGCCGAATGTTATACAGAAACAAGGAGGCTGGAGTCATTAAATACAGACTGATTTGTGAGGTTGGAAGAATGAGGCATGTTTTGTGAAGATCAGCTTCACAACAGTTACTTAAATTAGCAACACACTCGCTTCAGATTGGCGCAAATTAACAATCACAAAAGGGATATAATACAGAACATAAGGACAAATTTCCATTTAGAAAGTAGATGAAATATGTCCGTCAGTATTTTCTTGGATCTGAAAAATTACAGCTTATTTAGCATTTCTACAAGTTGTTTTTGTTCCCCTTGATTTTTGTCTATCAAATGTATTGCACTGTATTGTGAGAAGTACTTTACATGCTGTGGACTGAACGTTTTTCTTTTGGAATAACTGAAGGCACTATATTGTGAAGGCAGTACATGTACACTCTTCACATTCTGACACTAAAATAAAATCTTATATAAGTCAAGTAAAGTTAATGGGAAGAAACGTAAGACACAGCCGGGGTGTAGCGATGTCAGATAAACTCTTATGAACTGTGTCGGTCGTGGTTGCTGCAGGCAGAGTGTGTGTGTGTATGTTAGGGCTGTACAATGTATTGTTTCAGCTTTGTGATGTGCACAAAGAAGCACGATATTTCAGCTACATAAAGGATGATGCAGACCAAAAACAGGTACTCAATCAGCAGCGTGTTGCTCTCCATGAAGCAACATGACGTATTTGTTTGTTAAATCAGCACCACTAAGCTCTGACTGATGAGAGCAAAGTCTGATCTGAACACCATCCACAACTATTACGTGTGAGAAATTTTCCACACTACTTTTTTTTTTTTTTACAGCCTTTTAAATTGCTTTTTTACTTTCCAAGCAGATGCACTCCCCCACAGAATCCTCCCAGTCATTTCAGAATGATTGATTTCCGTCTTCTGGTGAAAATTCTGGTATTTGACCTTTGTGACAGAGAGCGTCGCTTCCGCATTGGTCCGTACAGCCGCAGATGGCGCTGTTCTACCCTCACAGTTAGAACAGACGAGACATGACATTCACCGACCAGACAAAACGGAACAAACTAAATGAAAATATACTCTGTGCTCAACCTTGAGTGATGGCGGCCTGCTGCTGTTGCAGTACATGTCGCAGAAAAGCAACATACTGCAATGTCAGTTTTGTTCCAACACCATGCAGCCCTTGTGTTTACACATAAATGTTAGGAGACTTGACATCCACCGAGCTTTGTACCGCCAGTGCTTTGCATACAGCCTTATCAATTCAGCTGACCATATCTCCCTGACAGCAGCCTCCAGAGCAGACCGATTGTTTTCTCGCTCAGGTGCTGGTGAAGTCGGTTGTGGGTCATGAAAAGATGAACAAACACAGCTTCGCCCAATTCATTACAGCTGCAGCAGCTGATTGACAGGGCCACCCCCTGTCCTCCCCTCTAACCACACCCCACTGACCCAGTTTGTAATGACGACACCTCAGACACGTTCTCTGAACAGTTTAGTAAATATAGCTTGTCCTTCATGCTTTTGAGCGTGATCGCTCCGATGCTAAATTAATGTGTTTATGACAGGCAGCTTTGCTTTATAATTGGAAGATTACAGCATGCTGTATGACGTGGAATAAATGCATAGTGTGCGTCATCAATCTTATCTCACCGCCTACGCATTGCCATCGCTGTCAATTACACCCACTTTTGGCCGGGGTAGTGATTGATGGCAAATCACGAGGTTTCCTGGCAGTTTGTCGTGTTGGTTTAAAAAAAAAATAGGTGATGAGTTCCACTGCAGCAGCAAGTGAATCATGTTGTTATCCTGGCTGCGCCTCTTACTATTAAACATTATACTGAAACTGATTTGGAAGCAGAGTAATGCCCTGAAATAGGCCGGCCTGGCTCACAATAGGCTGCCATTAATAAATAGGACTGTCAACAGCCATGGAGAGGAAATCAGAGCAGCACTGACTGTTACATGAGGTGTCAAATAACAGGTGTCATGTCACTGTAATGTCACAGCAACCACACTTCTTTCTCCTTTCTCATATTGTTGAATTACCTTCTTGTACGCAAGCGGAAAATCTGCCACCGATTTGACCGCTTGATCCCCGAATCGGATGGTTAGCAAAATTTTTAAGAATATTTTTTTGGCTTTAGTTGTGTTTTTGCATAAAAAAATTCTGATGCCTTTTGGAGTTTCAAACCATCTCCCTGCATATTTTCACAGGTTATAGTGTTTTTATCATGTATCGTGTGATTTTGCGACCTAGTCCTCAGTTTCACACAGAATTATGTTGAAAGTCATTCTCTTTGATTTCCTGTAATTTAATAGCAGTGGGTAAAAATATTTGTGGGGGCACAGAGCAGCAGAAACATTAGAAGCATAGCTGCAGCAGGAAGTGGAGTCTTGAGTGAGTTGCCCAAAGCAGATGTAACAGTTTAGCAGAGCTTCAGTCTAAGATGCGGCAGGAAGGACGACCATGTTGTTTTCTTTTGCTGAGGGGTAAACAGGAGTGAGGTGGCTGTGGAAGACACAAGGTGCTAGATATTAATCTGTGTGGATCTCAGGAGGTACAGCTTACCGGCACTAAGCTAAGGTTGTAAAGCAGATCAGCTCTGTTCTCTTAAGTTAAAGTGCAGTTTTGTTTTCCATATAGTGTTTAAGTTACGGGAAGGGGCTAACCTTGGGGATTGCTCTAGTTTCAAAGGTCGTATGTTTGGGTCATGTCTCCAAACAGAACCGGTGACCTCCTCTGACTAAAAGCTGAGATCAGCCTAGAGAGGAATGTAGGTTGTCACCAGAGCTATTTTGGCTATGTACAGCCACTAATGATTGTGATCACAGAGCAGAGTTCAGAGCAGTTGCTTTGCTCTCCTTTTTTCCTGCCAGCAAGTTTGATCATGCAGCTCTCACCGGCGCAGCAGGGATTACAGAGTTAAACGGATGGCACGTCGGCTCCGCTTGCATTTTGCGTCAAGGAGAAGCAACACGGACCCTCTGTCAGAAAGCCTCAGCAGCCATGGTGAGGAGAGTGGAGTCGGTGTGTCAGCTCATAGCCCCGCAGAGAGTCTGGCGCACAGTTCTGTCCACTTGAAGGTGACTCCTCTGTCACCAGACTATGGTAATAGTCGGTACTCTTCAGTTTTCATACCCAGGGTGAACGCTGGAGGATGTAATAAGAAGAGCATACTGCAGATCTCGCTGCAGCCCTGTGGAAAACTCGGTGGAGAGCTGGATGGCAGCATAGAGGATGGAGAGCCGGTGGTTAGTGAAGGAGGAGCAGGTACTGGCTCTGACGGAGGATCGTGCAGCAGCAGCATGGCAAGCGATGCCGGGTACTGTAGCAGCAACAGCATCTTTGAGCCAGAGGCTCCAGAAAAGCACAGGACCACCCAGGAGAGGAGTGTACTCTGCTGCAAGTCCAAGGTCCCATTAAGACGGTGCTCCTCCTTGGTGATATTTCCAAAGAGCCCCTGCAGCACCCCACCTGCTTCCCCAGTAAGTCCAGTGGCTCTGCCTGCTCTCCCACCACCAAAGGGGTCTAATCAGTCATCTCTTCAGACATTTGCCAGTGAATACTCACAAGATGATGAGGAGGTGGCTTGCAAAGGGTCCACCACCACGGCAGTTAGTGGTCATCGTCACCCAAAAGGAAGCTGTTCAACTGAATTCAGGGACACGAAACACATGGTGCAATTTAATATTCCTTTACAGGATGAACCAAAATGCAAAATGGAGGACAGGAGTAAAGTGATGGAACTGTCATCAGCTCTAGACAGATCAAATCGTCACTCCAGCAGCGTGTTGCTGCACTTTGCCCACCAGAGACCAATGATGTCGGGAAAGGGAGCTACAACCACGGCTACGGTCAATGTGGAATACCCTGAGACTCATTATCCAGCTGCACACCCTGAGGGCGAACACGACGCTCACAAAAAACTCTATCGTAGTACCTCGGCGTGTTTGTTTTCCTCAACCAAACCATCAGAGAAAAACCATAAGGTGTGTTCACCAGAAAAAGGCCAAGAAAGGCCCGAGGAGAATCACTGTCATCGTGCCATCCAAAGGAGCTTTTCCCTTGAGGTGCCCTACGCGAACACTGGAATTTCATGTCATGTTTCGAACCCAAAACTCAGCAGCCCTTGTTCTCCCCATGTGCATATTCACTTGTCCCCAGGCTGCCCGGCTAAGTTGCCTAGTTCTGTCACTGATGTTAACACAAGCCACAAAGGGGATATTACACCAAAGAGCCCAGGTCAAAACACCAAGGTGAGTGTTGAGCTGACGTACTGATACTCGGTGACTATTATGAGTGAACTGAAATGCCTGAAACTTGACTGTGTTTTGAGAAGCTAGCAGCTCTCTGATGAGCATTTTTTTCCAAGATAGCCGACACACAATGGCCCTTTGACAGGACGCTGTGGATTTGCCTATAATGTTGTTGAACTGGTTGAAGGAGATTCCACGCTGCTTTGGGTTGACTGCTCAGCCGACAACACTTTGACCTCTGCTGTTATGTACAGATTACAATGACAGTACATTAATATTGACCTTATGCTACATTTTGCATCTTAAGGCTTATGGTAGCCAAAGAAAAGTTAGCCACACTAAAGAGAATGTGCAGTGCTGCGTATTTTTCAGCAAGTATATGCTGTGATAGTGATAGCAGCTCTTCTTCACTGCTATTGCTATTCAAATGTTTAAAACTCAGTTTACTCAGGGTCAGCCATTAGGCTCCCCACAAGACAGAGCGACATTCAGTAACTGAGAAGATCGCTACAGCTAAGTCATGCAATTAACAAGCCCAATGTGGACAAACATTCGGAGGTATTCGGTTACATTACAGTAAATCCATCTGCACATGAATTTCCGAGAAATGCGCAAATACGAAGGAGAGGTTGCCTTCAACGTCGTGAGTCTGTTTTCAGTGGTGTGCGAATTCAACTTTAGAATAGTTCTCCATTTTTATTATTCTGTTAGCACCATGAGTAATCGACTTAAGTATTTACCCGGGCTAATTTTAGCGGTGGGAAAAGCAGTGCCCCTTGCTGATATAAATAAAGTGCCTCTGAAATATTCCCCCTGACTCCAGATAGTCTGGTGGGCTGTAGCTCTGCCCAGTCCCGTGGATTCAAATTTAACAGCATGATACTAGAGCAGCGCACAGTCATGCCAGCCATCTGTGGACATGGTGTGTGTGTCTGTGGTGGGGGTAATGTAATGTAGGCGGAATGAGAGCGTGAGCCTTTCCCAGTAAACGGGTGGTGTGTTACCTTCCCTGTGGGTCCCCCTGCCAGGCAGTGTTTGTGAAATATCAGGTGTCAGTCTCCCCCTGCATTTAGCAAGTTGTCAAGTAAGACGGTCTCCTCCAGTAATTAGCCTGTTCCTTTGCTTTTAAAGGTCTAAATTAGCTTTTGTGAATCTGGAGGATATTTTCATCCTTTAAAGTGTCTCCAAAACGCCACCGGTGGCTGATGAAAGAAAGTAGAAATCCGGTATATTCATGTTGCGCTTTATGCATGTTTATCCGGTGTCACATCACTGATGTGCTTCTTAGAAGTCAGTTACTACACACCTTTGTTTACATTTTGACTGTGTACGCTCAACCACAGCGTGACTTATAATCTGAAAAACACTTATCAAAGAATGTACAAGAATATATTTCAGAAATCAAATAACAAAGAAACACGTGAAGGTAATGAAACATGTGAAGATCTTATATGATTCATGAGAAAGTATTTTTACTGTAAAGACAAAGATTTTATTGACTAAAGTGGCCATATGGGCTTTATACTCATAAATGACTTTGAAAATGTTCACCTCGTGCCAACAATCAGTCAAACAGCAGTGATTAATATACGCATGAATCAACTGGACGTTTTTGTTGCATGAATGATTTTTCAAGATTAACATCAGAACTTCTGTGACATGTTTTGTTCATCATCAGAGACAAAAACAGCTCTAACTTAATCCGTCATTTCTTTGCAAATACTGCTTCAAAACCACGGAGCATGCCGATCAGTCATGTGTCCGTCGTGATTCAACTCTGTTGTTCTTATCTGCACCTCATCACACGAGTTAATGAACAACCAGGTGTTATTAATATCATGCAACAAAACCACGAGTCAGATTTTTTTTGGTTGTATTTCGGTAGTCTTAGCTGAATTTTGTGTAAAACCTCGAACAAGTAAGCAGAATTTTTAAATGAATAGATATGATGTAGAGGAACGAATCTAACAAATACCATCATTTTTTTAGGACCAGAAATGTTGTGGCTATCTTACTAAACATACAACTACTTTTAAGCAGCTGCCACGGTGTTTGTGGTGGTTCCTGAGCGTTGCATTTCCTAGTTGGAGTCATTCAGAAATGATAACATGAGATGTAGAGAGATCACTTCCTTATTGTACAAGAGTCCAACAAAGGGTCCTTTCTTTCTTCCCACCTGTCAGACATCGAGCCGAATTTCTAGACGTGTAAAGGTTAAAGACTGGATATCAGCCAAGAGCCAGGAAAATGTGACCTTCTTCTTTCTTTTGGAGTTAAAGTAAATGAGCTTTGTTTGGATAATGTTCAAACAAATAGCGCAGGGATCCGTTTCACAAAGCAGGTTTAGTGAAAACTCTGTTAACCCTGAAACCTCATTACCTGAAATGAGGTCATTGCACATGTTGTGGCTGTTTATTGCAGCAACAGCAAATTCTTTCCTGTCTTTGACACAAAAGCATCTCGAACCATTTTACAGGTTTGACTTGTGTTTGTGGTGGCAGTGAATCGCTGTCATCACACCCGTGAAAGCTCAAATTTAGGTTCGGTCATCGCCTGCTCCGGTCACAGCTAGTTTGCCTGTTCCAACATCTTTATCCAAGGAGCTTTTCAGAAGTTTATTTTTCACAAGCTGCAGTCCACCTGTCATAAGTAGTTTGTCGTTGCAGAGCTGAGATGGATGTCACTGAGCTTGCTCCACTGATGCCCAAACATGTGTCTGCAGCCTCCTGCAGCATGTGGTCAGCACTGCTTAAATCCGCCTGCTAAACTGAGTTGCATTTAGTGTCACATGAACCTTCAGGGATGCTGTGAATGGACATTTGTCTGTGTGTTGTTTTTTTTTAATGTGTAAAAGCATACAGTTCCCCTTTGTTACACTCAGCCTCATGTCATCCAGGAAGTTTCCAAAGAAAGATGTGGTTTCATTTCATAGTCTCTTGGTTTGTTTGTGAATGTGACACAAAAAAAGATGGTGTGTATTATAATTCAACATTGTCGTTTTTTTTTTTTTTTTTAAATACCAGCAAGCATATGATCTTAAGATAAGATCATTCTCAGAACATTAACAATTCAGGCTTGTGTTTCAAGTGTCCTTGATTTATTGAGTTCAATGAGATAAAAGCCATAAATTGAGATTACATTTTGTTGGACAAAACACAGAAATCTGGGATGTCCTTAAATGTTTTATCAATTCCATAGTGTCAGTCCATCACATGAGGCTTTTTTTTTTCTTTATATTTCTATTTCTACTCCTGCAAACATAAATACATTGCTTGATATCCAACTCTACTGTGTGTGATGTGTGCGCTCATACAATCTCCAGTCACTGTTTTTGTTGAGGCCATATTTAAACAATACTAGCAGATATGCAGATTTTAATCTAGTATCCTTTGGACTGTGGAGTTTAATAAATACAGCTGCTGTTGGTGGTCTCCTCTCCTAAACATTAGTATTTTAGATGGATTCAAAAGGGTCCCTACATTGTAGTTGAAACTTTTGAATCGTATATCGGGAAGATAAATAAATTGTATGAATTGTTCAGCGAGGGTCGACGCCCATGTGCTTTCTTTTAACCCGGATTTATCTGCTTGTCTTGGCCGCGCTGTTAGAAGTGCAAGGGCAGGACGAAGGAGGCCTCCATCTATATTTGCACACGTAAACACTCTGTGCCGCTGAGAGACAGTTTGACCCGGCCTGGGTGTTAATTTAGTCTCAAAGCTGGCTCTCGCTGTGCTGTGTGTTTGCCTTCAGCCTTCTGCTTTCGAGACCGGTGCGGCTGCAGTGAAGGCATGCAGTGAATGTGTCAAAGCGAAAACATTTTATCTGACAAATGCGACATTATTTTGATCCCGGTCGCTCTCACAATAACCCAGAGCAGCCATTCATTGAGGTCTAGTCACCACATTTCTATCCGCGTTACACACTGAATATATTTGGAAATACATCAAAGTCAAATGCCTTTCATTGTTTAAAATATGGAAATAGTGCCGTGTTGGTGCCAGATGGGCAGGAGTGGGCCACCTATATATGTGTCTTGCCCGACCAATAAAAATATTTGTTCAGTCAATGGAAAAATAGCACAGAGAATAGCAGCACTGTTTCTAACTACTGATTGTATAGGGAAGCTGTGTGTCTCTCAAACAAATAAACCCACTCTCGCACTCGTGTATGTTTGTATTTGGAACAATTTAGTGTCCTAAAAATGTTAACTTGAGTTGAGTTTCTGTTTATTACACTCATTTACATCAGGGATTGTGTACAAAAACGGTAATCTTAGTGAAAGGAGGAGATACTCGCATCTGGCTCCTTCAGGGTTCTTTTCTCCTTCTATTACCTCTTCAGTCCAAGTTGTCCACCGAGCACTTCTTTGAGCCCAAACTGTTTAGTTCAAACTGTTTGTGATGAGGCAGAGAGGTTTGTTTTCTGTTTAATCCAGTGGTTATGGATAGCTCGTTTAGAGGGAGTGACTTGTGAACAAAAAGTCTCGATACGATAGAGACGTGACAGGCAGCGCACCACCTCAGAGTGAGTAACGCAGACACAATGTACGCTCCTGTTGGGATGTTGCAGCGCCTCTGTCTTCTCTAAAGACAGCTGAGTAACAGAACATGTCTAGGCCGGTCCTGTATATATCTGTGCGTAGGAGGGGATAAAATTGGCAATTCTGACGTCTGTGCGGTTCTCTTTCTCCCTCTCAGACACGTGACGACTTTCTCGGACAGGTGGACGTCCCCTTAAATCAGATACCGGTGAGTCATGGCTTGCAGCAGATCTGTGTACCTTTTTTTCATACTGACTGACTTGTTGAAGTTTACATAAGCTGATAGTAACTTGTTTTTACGGTAGCTTTTACCTCACAAGCTCTCGACCTCAATCTCACCCGTGCCACCGTGTAAAATGGAAACACACGCACCCTTATTCTAGTGTCTGTTCCACATCGTTGTGTACAGTTTTGGAAACACAGCCCGTCATGTTTATGCTACCTTCCTGCTTTTGTTTGATTATAAATACAACACCCACAAATTAGCCCTCATTGCACCCTGTCACCGTCATTTCATGTAATGCTATCTTAAAATATATACTGTGTGTGTGTGTTATGGTGACGTGTCGAGCAGCAGGTTTATTCACACAACTGTAAAAATGTGAAGAATTAAAGATTTCCTTTTTTATGTTTTTTTTTGTTTGCTTTTTTTTCCAGACAGAAAATCCTAATACAGAAAGACCATACACATTCAGGGATTTTCTGCTTCACCCACGAAGGTTGGCATGATTTCATGGTTATTCAATCTTAATCATCTCCTTGTTTTCCATTCCACTGTTTTATATTTTGTTATTTGCAGGAAAATTGAAATGGGTACATTTCATTTTTAAATTTTTAAACATTCCTGGAATTTCTTTTATCTTCAAAACAGTAATTTAGTTTTTTTTTGTTCTCACTCAGCCACAAGTCCAGAGTCAAAGGTCACCTGCGTCTCAAAATGACTTTCCTGCCAAAAAACCCGGGTTCAGAGGAGGAAACGACAGATCAGACTGAGGACACAGATGTAAGTTAATGCTTAATTTCACACATCCTCTTGTGTTTGATTAGCTTACATAGTGATCCCTCTTCTGTTTGAAATAGATCGGCCTCAGCCTGAGGTCAGTCGGGGCTGCTTGAGGGCCTCACGTTAACTTTATTTTAGTTTAGCTTCCTCTCATTTTGAGTTTTTATTACTGTTGTATTCATCTGTTTGTAGCTTTGAAGTCATACGCATGGGCATTGTGCATAACAATACATTTTTACATCTTTATTGCATTTTCTTTCTCTGTGGAATTAGAAATATAGTTGATAGAATGATCAATGTAATAGCAAATAAATAAATTTGACCGCACTATAACTATCTATTAAAAAATATAATAAGTGTATAAATCAATATATAGAACTATGTTTTTACTGAAATCTGAAGAGAATTTAAATAATAATTCGATGCCTGCTAATGTTGGGTTATTTTGATGCCAAGGGTCACATTGAAAAGTCAAGTGGCTTCGTCACTTGTTTTCACCATAGACCTTCAACAATCAAAGGTCACAGCAGTAATATAAATTCACTTAGACTGTATCTTCAAAGATTGAAAATACAAAGTCCAGGAGTCCAGTGTTGTCGTCTTTTATTTGTCCTACTGTTCGTCCACGGTCTCTGCAAATGATTTCTTCACAAACATTTTAATAAACTCAGACCTTTACTCCTCATCATATCCAATAAATTGTCACCATCCAGCACCTTTTAAAACGTTGTCATTATGTTGTGCAGCCTGGATGGGAGCTTCTGGAGACTCAGGACATGTCCGGTCCCAGAGAAAGCCAGCTGCTGCCTCCTCTGCCCCCTGGCTGGGAGGAGCGGCAGGACAACCTGGGAAGAATTTACTTTGTCAATCATGAAAGCAGAACCACGCAGTGGCAACGACCCTCGACGCAGTAAGAGAGCTGCCACTACCTGAGCACACTCACTTCACTTCTCTGTTGGTGCATTTGTGATGTGTGAGAGTACATGTGTGCGTCCATGTCTCCTCTAATCAGGGATGCTGACTTGGAAACGCTGAGAAGACAGAACAATAACATGGATGTGGAGCATGCTTTCATTACACGCAGACAGATCTCAGACCACGATGAGAACAACACACGGGAGTCCCCAGAGGTAACACATGTTCTGTGTTACCTGTACCTTCTCATTTTGTTTCGGAGGATCAGCGTTGTTTTTAAAGTATTAAAGAAACATTTCCTTTCAGAAAAAGTACAACAGGACGCCTGGTAAAATGTTTGAAGATGACAGCTGTAAAGTGCTATTCATCAGCTCATTGTTTGCCTTACTGTCTGAGTTCACTCTCACTGCTTTCGTATAGTTGTTTCCAGCTGTGGCTTTTTCATTGAATGAGCTCTAAAAACCCAATCTGCTCAGCACCAAACACCAGACACGCAGTTAGTGGCACGCCGGTGTAACTAGTGGAAACAATGAGTGGGTAAAAAGCCAGATGTTTGCCTCAGGAGTTCGTAGATACCAAAAACAGAGTGGCAGAGTGAATATTGGACTTCATAAGGTGGTTTGAAACACGACTCCAAATGAAAACTAATCTTGCTCCGTGTCTGCCGGTTGTGTAAATAGTCACCTCCTGGTTAATAAGGTTGCCATAGTCACTTCATACGTGTTAATATGTCTCTGGTGTGCTAGCGGTTAGTTTGCCCTGTGCAAAGTGGGGGGAAAAGTCTAATTAATGCTAGTTAGAAAATGTAACTTAGCCCATCCGTAGCACTGTTTTTTAAAAATGTGGTGGAAGAAGTGTGGGGAGGTGTGACAGCTATGTGGATGCCATGTTGAAGCCAGCTGTCACAGTGGTGGTTGTAACTTTAAGCACTCTGACGTGAAGGTTAAGTATAAAAGAAGACTCACAATAGCTTTTATTGTAAACAAATACATCCAAGACTTCATGTCAGAGCTGTTCTTGTTTGAATCTAGTCTTTTCTCTCGCCTCTTCCAGAGCTGGGAGATCATAGCGGAGGACGAGTCCACCTTGTACCACAGCAACAACCAGATCACATCACCTCCACCTCAGGCGCCTGCAGAGTTCCACCCGTTCTGTGACGAGCTGAGAAACGTTCACATTTCAGGGGCCACAGCTGGCGAGCAGCGCACCTCCCAGACGGTGAGTCATTTTCTGTGCAGCGTGAGGTTCCGGTTACTGTAAGTCAGAGGAAGAGACTCATAATCAGATTAATGTGAAGCATGAGCTTCCTGTGAGCGAGGCAGAGAAGGTGGAAAATATGCACACATTAACAGCCAAGTGATCGTAGCTGTCGTCCTTCCCCTCTCCCGCAGGATCATGCTAGCAATTCGAGCCATTCCAGTCTCAGAGGAAGTGCCCAGGCTTCAGGGGGAGAGGAACATCCAGTTAATCCAGTGGTGGGTATCTTCTGTTGAAATCACGCCTTCCTTCCTTTTAGCAAACCTGTCTTACATCAAAAGGTTGCTGCTTCAGGGTGCAGATGTCAGTGGTCATGCATGCACAGGTATTTTCTTTTAATCGTCACGTGGTGTAAAACTTAGGAAACAGTTTGAGTCGGGTTGTATACTTCTGTGTTGGATATCATGCTACGTGAATATTGAGCTTTAAGTTGTCAGTATCAATCACTGTCATATTTTTGTCTCATTCAACAGCTACTTCCAACCTCAACTGGGTTGCCTCCAGGCTGGGAAGAGAAGCGGGACACTAAAGGAAGACGCTACTTCATCAACCACCACAGCCGAACCACAACGTGGACACGACCACTCATTCAGGTACACAATGACACTGATGCATACTGACACTTTTGATGGCATCTTTGTTGCCCTTATTTATCTATAGATAGATAGATAGATAGATTGATAGATGGATAGGGTATCTCAAAGTTGCTGGTGATAAAAAATTATTGACGTGTAATTTGTTGGACAGAGAACCTCAGAGGCTGCAGCACAGAGCAGTGCAAGTGTACGCCGAAGCCCGACACCGCCTCATCCACCTGCACCACCTGCACCACCTGCACCACCTGCACCACCTGCACCTCCTGCACCTCCTGCACCTCCCGCACCTCCCTCACCACCCGGGGAGTCTCCTCAGAGCACTCCAAGCCCCGAGGCACCCTATCAGTCTGGCTTCTTGCCGACCGGTTGGGAGGTTCGCAGTGCTCCCAATGGAAGACCCTTTTTCATCGACCACAACACAAAGACGACTACCTGGGTGAGCACAGTAGACGGCCTTCAACCGTGCCTTAATGGTCAAGCGGTGAACACTCTTTTGAGATGTAGTTTCCTCCACAGCTGCTTGAAGCTCATTGAAAGAAAATCAACAGAAATTATCAAGGTTTTCTTTAGAACGATGAAGCTGATTATTTGGAAAACAATAAAATTATTTTGAAGTTTTCCATATGTGTCATGGTGGCAACTTCCTCAATTTACAAAAAACAGTCAGCAGTATGTCACCGCCATCTCTCGGGTGAACATTTCCTCTTTGACTGACACACACCCTGTTTGTCTTCCTCTGACAGGAAGACCCCAGGCTAAAGATCCCCGTGCACATGAGGAGGAGACCCTCACTCGACCCCTCTGATCTTGGCCCTCTGCCGGTAAGTTCAGCCGTAACAGAACATCAGTAACAGTGAACTGGAAGACATAGTAACTTATTGTGAATTCAATATGATATTTTCTCCATTCTTAGCCTGGTTGGGAAGAAAGGGTCCACTCCGATGGGAGGATATTCTACATCGATCACAGTGCGTATGACATTTATTTTATTTAAACTAAAAACCCAGCTTGAATAAATAGTATTTTTCCTTGCAAATAAATGGCCTCATTTGTATTTTATTTTATAGACACCAAGACCACACAATGGGATGATCCCAGATTACAGAACTCAGCTATAACTGGACCAGTGAGTATCGACTGTTAATAGTAAAATGATATTAACGAAAAGATCAAAACAGTTTTTTTTTTTGTATTTTAGAGGTTTCTTGTAAATATTTGTCATCAACTAAAGTGTGTTTTTTAAGTTTAAGGTTGATTTTTTGTTACTAAACACTTTCCTCTGTTGATTGTAGGCCGTGCCTTACTCCAGAGACTATAAACAGAAGTACGACTACTTCAGAAAGAAGCTGAAGAAACCGGTGAGTGTCCTCAAGAGCAACTGCGACTTAGAATATCACCTCTAACTGCGCAAAACACAACCCAACGCTGCATCCTTCTAATGTAGGCGGACATCCCAAATCGTTTTGAGATGAAGATGAGACGGAATGCCGTGCTGGAGGACTCGTACCGACGCATCCTCTCAGTTAAGAGGGCAGACCTGCTGAAGGCACGACTGTGGGTGGAGTTTGAGGGAGAAAAAGGACTGGACTACGGTGGCGTGGCCAGGGAGTGGTTCTTCCTCATGTCCAAGGAGATGTTCAACCCGTACTATGGACTCTTTGAGTATTCTGCCACGTGAGTTCAAACACTATCGGCTTTACGTGTTTTCTCCCAATCTGATTCTTTCGCTGTCTGAGTTGTTCTTGTTTGTCCGAAGCTGTTGTTTGTGTTTTTTTTACGAGGTTGTTGTTTGACTGATTGATGTCACGTCGCTGGGATGATAAAGTTAATCAGTAGTAGCACGAGTTATCTGCATCCTCTTTACTGAACACCCACAAAAATGTACAATGTACTGTTGCCTTCATGGGCTTAAAAAACATTTTATCTTTAAAATTTATTAAACAAATTACACCATTTGTCATAGTCAAAAACTGCCAAAACTACAAGAATTGCCAGAGTTTCACTTTTGCATGAACTATTCATCTGTGACATGCCGTTCCATCAGAAAACGTAACCAGATCTAAGACTAAACATGTGTTATTCCATCAACATCACTTAATTCTATGAGTCTCATTTAAAAAATTCACCACAAAATAAACAGTGTGCTTGATCCAAATCCAGATAGGAGACAGGTATGGAAACAAATCAGAAACGTACCTGGTAATATATCTATAGTATGTCGTGTCTGCATTTTCCCCCCAGTTTTCTAAACAGCTCAGGGGACTTGTACATGTTAATTTTAGCTTTTTTTCAATTTTTTTTCTATGACTCTGTTACACTGCGTTTAAAAGACATTGTTTGAGTTCCCTCCACTTCCAGCCGTGTCTGTGCTGTTTACATGGAGTGCACTGTGGATGATTTTTTATTACACCGAAAAAGACGTCCACAGTGAGTAAAAATGTGACAGGAGGAGGAAAAAACAGCCAAAAAACTTCTCAAGGAAAAAGAAAATGATATGAAACACACTCAGGACTGACGTTCTGCTCCCAGGTTTCCTGCACTGGTCTGGAAGGTCTATATATTGACTTACTGCTCACGTTGTACCATCAGACTCTGTGTGATATTTGTTGTTGGAGAGACTGTTTTTGTTTACACAGTAGCAGACTATATTTAAAGACCCACTTAGCACATTCTGTCTTTGACGTTCAAAACATGGTCCGGAAAACGGCGTAATTGCGAAATGGAAAACGAGTTGGCTTGGATTACTCGGGATGAGCATCAGTAAAAACACAGACTCACGTAGTTGTTTTTCCGATAACAGTGGAAATTTAAAAGCCCAATAAACAACTGCGAACTAAGAGAAAGCTGCTCTCAGAAACGGCACTTTATGTCATTTATGATTTGATTTCTTTTTAGGGACAACTACACTCTGCAGATCAACCCGAACTCAGGTTTGTGCAACGAGGACCACCTGTCCTACTTCAAGTTCATCGGCCGAGTGGCCGGCATGGCCGTGTATCACGGCAAACTCCTTGATGGTGAGTGTCCCCTGATCTTTTACAGCTAATTAAACAGTCTGACATTCCAACTGCAGTGGCGAGAGGGTTTTGTCGATCTTGACATGTTTTTGTTCTTCAAAGCGTTCTTCATTCGGCCGTTTTACAAGATGATGCTGCAGAAGCCGATCACCCTCCAGGACATGGAGTCTGTGGTGAGTGTTGCTGTAATTAAGGGGACACGTGTTCTAATTACAGGTGATCTGGATTCAGTTTGTTAAAAGTGCTCTTTTCTTTTTCAGGACAGTGAATATTTCAACTCCTTGATGTGGATTTTGGAGAACGATCCAACGGACTTGGATCTGAGGTTCACCATCGATGAGGAGCTGTTTGGACAGGTTGGCTCTTCGTCTTTGTGCCAGTGTTTAAATTTGTGACAAGTTGCTTTCTGCGTGATTGACACAACGCATCTCGTTCCTCCCGTTCAGACTCACCAGCATGAACTGACGCCGGGCGGCACAGAGATTGTCGTCACCAATGACAACAAGAAGGAATACATCCAGTAAAGAACAGAGCTCCTCACTTGCAAAATTCCACTTTTAAATCATCTTTGAGATGCGGTTTGTTGCTTAATCTGCCGTTTTGTGTTTGACAGTCATGTGATGCAGTGGAGGTTCGTGAACAGAATCCAGAAGCAGATGACGGCTTTCAAGGAGGTAACCATTTACCTGATGCATTTTTTAATCGCAGTACAGTTATCAAAGACGAAAAGAGAGATAAACATGTGGTACATTTTTGTCTTTAGGGATTCTTTGAGTTGATACCACAAGATCTGATCAAGATCTTTGATGAGAACGAGCTGGAGGTGAGTTTTTAGTTGATCCGAGGTGCAGATTCAGATTCCAGAGAGACAACCAATGACCTGTCTGCTTGCTTTCTTCCGCTGCACAGCTGCTCATGTGCGGTCTCGGAGACGTGGACGTGAACGACTGGAAGGCGAACACCAAGTACAAGAACGGCTACCTCGCCAACCACGTCGTTATCCTGTGGTTTTGGAAGGTGAGGCGGCTTTTCATACCTGCAACCAATAAACTCGAGCTGTGGCACGGACCCGTGTGCGATTATTCGCCTGTAAGAAGAGCTCCGTATGAGTTTGTTTTCTGCTTGTGTTATCCTAGACGGTGCTGCTGATGGATGCAGAGAAGCGAATCCGACTTTTGCAGTTCGTGACAGGAACATCCAGAGTCCCCATGAATGGCTTTGCTGAACTCTATGGTGAGATGATGTGCTGTATTTTTATCACTACTTACTGCTTGTTGCGTAATATTAAGTCTGTTTTGATTCTCCACGAAGCAAATTAATATTTTCATCTTGTTTTTTTATGAGCAAATGAATGACAGCCTCATATTCAGCCCTCTACACTGTGTACACTTGTTATCAGCTCACAGGTGGCTCGGACATTTTTATTTCTTGCAGATTAATTCCAGTTGAAATCGTGTTGTTTGTTGTCGTCTGATGTTTATTGGTTTTATTTTCCAGGGTCTAACGGGCCGCAGCTGTTCACCATCGAGCAGTGGGGAACACGTGATAAACTTCCCCGAGCCCACACATGGTGAGCGTTTCACTCTTTTTCCTTTTATTTTATGTCGAGCGCAGTTATGTTTAGGAAAGTACTCCATTCCTATAAAAAGGCCACATTGTTTGCAGCGCTCCCGGCATGTCGTTGCTGCTGATGTGTTGCCTGTGTTTAGCAGAGAGGTTTGACGTAAGAGCAGAGATTTCAGTTCAGTCCAGCTTCTTTGACAAATGTAATCACGTTGCTATAATGCGGTTGTATTGCACAGAGCCTCTAATGTGTGCACAAGAGCCATATAGTGCTGGTCTTATATCTTATGGAGCTTTAAGGGATCAGAGAAATGAGATGACAGCTTGTGTTGGCCACGTGATGCTGAAGAAGAAGGCACTTTTTGTGTGGCTGTAGAAATAATAAGTACTCGTGCACAGTGGGTGGAAGCCCTCTAGTGGCTGAATACCGTCTTCAATGACACATCTCAGTGTTTTAAGGAAATCTGGTGTTGATTCCTGCAAATACACATGTATGATAAGTTAAGTTGGGCCACATTTTTGATGTTTTTTTGTATTCATTTGTGCCTTATCAGAAAAGAATAGACACTTCCACTTTTTTGGATAAACTATTCTTTGTTTTATACTTGCAAAAATCTATAGATCAGGGAGGGGAAAGTAGTTTTTATCAGATAAGTAATTAAGGGTTTGCACTGGTGGAATATTAAGAGTGACCAGTAACCTGTTTTAAAGTAAGGGTGGAAGTAAATGTGTATTTTCTACACTGTTGAATGTGCATGCTGAACATTTTAAAGGAAATTGAAAAGTAACAAAGCTCATCTTCGTTTTCTATTTGACAGCTTCAACCGGCTGGACCTTCCTCCGTACGAGTCCTTCGAGGAACTGAGGGAGAAACTTCACATCGCTATCGAGAATGCACAAGGCTTCGACGGGGTGGATTAGCGCGCACACGAGCTCAAATGACTTTACTGCCGTCAGAGTAAAGCCGAGCGGCGTGACGAGGAAAAAAAACAAGCTGTGCGTCAGACTCGGGTCTTAACCTGCCAGCTGTGTGACAGATGAAGGACAGCTACAGCACCTTGGCTTTGGTCCTCTGTTGGAGCACACATGAAGAGCGGACATTCAACCCGGAGTGACGGAGGTATTTTTGTATCACTCCGCGTGTTCTGAAGTTTACAAAACAGGTTATCTTATTATTTGATTTTTTTTGTATTGTAAGTCGCTCAAAGGTGTATTCACTCTTATTTGTTCTGCTAAAATGCTTAAATATTTAAAGAACTTGATTCTGTGAAATGACGATAGGAAAGAAATTAATGTGAACGCAAGCTGCACAGTATATGACAAAAACTTTTAACCTTTAAGAACGATAGTTTTATCCGATTTGACCCACTTTATGCTCAGCTTTCCACATCTCCTCTGGGAAACCGATCACCTTCATGTCCACATCAGGGGTCGGAATAATCAAACACACGATGCTGAAGTTAATATTAGGATGAAAAACGTAATCATCACTCACAACCTACATCTGCAGTACTAATTCTGTTCACACATTACTGTTCAGCTGTGCCTTTAAACATGCCCTTCACCCAAAATGTTGTCCAGGGATTTTACAAACGAGGCATGAAACAAGTTTTTTTTTGTTTTTGAAATTTTCATTCCAGTGTATTAGAGACACTGACGCAGTAAATCACACATATATGGACCTCAGAAGCATTTGTAGCAGAAAATGTGCAGGTTACATACAAATTTGAGCGACTGCAGTTAAACAGATTGTATCAATGTGTCAGTTAATCGTTATGGTAGTGATGTACCAATACCAGGACCAGTAAAAGGCTAAACTAATTATACTGTAGTTTGTGTCTGTGTCGTCCACAGATCCAAAGACGTGACTGCATGCAGTGTTAGTTTGTGTTGAAATACTATGCATAATTGTACATATTGACATTAGATAATAACTGAACATAACTTGATTTGGGAGTTTTTCAGATATTACAGTAATAGTTGTACATGCTAATATTAACTTCGCCTTCTAAAAACTGATAAAGTTGTTAAAACTGTTAAAGTCACTCAAAGTTGTCAAAATGGCCAAAAAGAAAAAAGTTATTGATGCATCTCTGCATTTATTCATGATCGGTAGCTCCTAAAACTGAAGTTCAACGCTGAACTTTTTATGTTCCAGAAGAATAAATACATGTTTATTTACATCATATCTCCTGAGGATTAGCTTTTCAGAAGCCTAACCATACAGCCTGACCGTACACAGTTTGCTAACGGCGTGTTCAATGCTATGTTTTGTTGCCTTTTGTCAGTGAATGAAATCATTTTTGTTTTCTTCTACTCATCAAGGGTGTCTAATTGCAACACAGTGCTCTATTTTTAAGAGTACAACTTTAAAAATTGTTTTGTTGGTTGTCAAAATATGTACAGATTATCGTTTTTCAAAATGAGTAATCACTCAGAATACCTTTGTAAGAAAGTGACTGTGCTTAAGCAGTAGTTTTATCCTTTTCTGAACGGTGAAACATGTGTTTACACTACCTGCCATGTTTACAGGTAAAGGAAGATATTGTGGGCTGGTTCTTGTCTCTGACAACACAATTTTATACTTATGCTTTTATAAAGTGAAGCACTTTGTTAATATTGATGAGTCTTACTTCTGAGCTGCCTGAATCTTTGCCAATCTGTCACCTGCGGACTCCTTAAATCACTTTTTTGACAACATGATCCTATGCTTCAAGTGCACATGTGTTTAAATGTTTACATGTGAACATTGCTGAAAATAAGCACATTCTCTTCTTTCACTTATATTTAAAATGAAATACCAAGGCCTTCATTTGTAATGTGTTGTAGAATTTGATTGTGTTCATCGATGTTCCGATCTCTGAATGGAAGTACTGTTATATATGTATTATTGTCTACTGAAGAATAATGAATTGATCAACTTTTCATTTCTGATATATCAAAATTCGTTATTATAACACCTATAAGTGCATTACAACAGCATAAATGCAACATTTATATATAAATATATATATACACAACAGTTTAAAGGGCAAAATGAACTGTAGCTGTTAAATCCCAATTTGATGACCTATAACACACCAAACTGAATATAAATATATTTGAAGAAATAAAAAAACATAAAGACAGTTATCCGGTGTCTTCGTGTCTTAACTTTCTTACTCATTCAGCTGTTGAGTTTTGTTTCTAATGTGCAAGATGTAATAATATGAATATGTGTAAAATGATGTGGCAATTTTGAACTAACACCTATGAAGTCCTTGTATATCAGCACAGCAGCTTTACAGAGTTCTGATGCATGTCACAGGGTTCCTACACAAGTATGGAAAATATGGAAAAGTATGGAATTTTGAAATTTCAAATGTGTAGGAACCCTGATGTTAAACGGACTTGAGTTGTATTACTATCACACAGCAAACATGATTTCCAGAGTGTGTGACGCAAGCAGGCCTGCTGTCCGGTCAGCGGGGTCAGAGGTTACAGATGACCACAGCTCAGGACCAGGAGGGGGGAGATGGGGGAAGGCCATGTGGAGGGTGGGTGAGGTGTGTGTCGATGAGAGGACCAATTTGGAAAATTTTGTCCTCCTGTGCATAATCACTAATGGCTGGTCTAGACACAAGCACGAGAAAGTGGGGTGCAGATAATTCACTTTAGGAAGGTTAAACACATTTACTTAGATGCAACTCTAAAGTACTGCTGCTTTATTTAGTGTTTCCATTTTATGCTATTTTATACTTCTTAATTTCAGAGGGAAATATTGTAGAATGTTTTTTAAGGTAAAGATATCACACAACGGATAAAGGTGATAGGTTAAAGCGGCTGTGATGTTCTCTTTGGATGTTTAAATGTTGTGTCACATACTGGCCAATGTGAGCTTCAGCTGACTGCAGAGAAACAGTAAAGGTGTGTTTCCAAACCCGAGCATGTCAGCGACTCTGCCTACTCAGTGACATCTCACTGTTTGACTACATGACGTGTCTGAACAGAGAGAATGTTATTGTAGCTGTGATGTGAATAAGAAAACTGTTGTGTGATCTGACGGCAGCAAAGAGAAGATATAGAGGCTAAAATATTGATAATTTTAAATTTTAGTTTTGTTTCTCTCCTCTAAATGACTGCAGATTTGAACTTGTACTGTGTTGTATAAGGGGGGTGTTTTCATGAGAGTTTTTTGTTGCAAGATTTTCATCTTAAACGTGATTTTGATGATTGTGAGGAGTTTGTAGCATTAGTAGACTTTTCAAATGCAGTTTTGTTGATTGCATCACTTATTTTCTAAGCTAGACGTTTGTCTCCAAGAATGCACTAAAACAATGAGGAAAAACATCTGAATCTATTTGACAAATGTGTTGTTTTGTTTCTTTGGACGGCTCGCTGTGATCTTGTGGTTTGTGTGTTTGTAGTTCTGAATTCTTCCAGCTGGGGGAGATGAAACTCTGCATCTTCCTGAAGAGAGTCACCAAACTTTTAAAGTGACATCTGAGGAACAAATGTGGTTTGTTTCAAACCATACTGGCAGCGACACACAGATTTTTTTCTGTGAAACCCACTCTGTTGTCTGTCTTTCTGGAGGGATAAGTTTCATTTCGCTATAACTCAGATCTGTTCGCTTGCTGACCAGCAACATGGGGCGCTCTTTCATGTATAATGTTAACAAGAGCACCGTGTGAAGAGGACTACTCCACGTCTCTGTAGTTGAAGCCTTTTGTGTGATTCAGCTGAAGAGCCACAGTCCTAATTTCTCCACAACCCCCCATTGGGGCACTAAAACCCCCTTCGTTCCACGGAGGTCAGTGGATAAGGTCACACCCGATTCAGGCCGGCCTTTTGGACACTGCCGGGGTCAGCGGGGATGGGCAACGTGTGGTGGCAGGAAGACACGGCCTTCAGCCAATGGCAGCGGGTCTTGGGAAAGCTCGCTCCCCTTTACCCACAAACCTACACACATTCATAACCTGATAATGACTTTTGCTCCATTGATCCGGCTCCAGAGCTTGACCCGAGTTCACATGCAGGCTGGACATCACTCCACCCACAAACTCTGCCATATTGGCAGGTGCCAAAACTGAATTCTTGATTAATTAAACACCCTTGGGAGAGCCTCTCTGGCCATGAATGGGGTCAGGCTCGCACTTTCTCACGTTATGTAAGAGAGGTGCCCACCGTGTGATGTGAGGATGTGGTCACTTATTGGGTTATGTAATACTGTACAAGAGCTGCAAAGGGAAACATAACGAGCAGGAGATTATCAGTGTGTTTGTGTTGGAGGTTAATGTGGCAGCAGGTGTTGCTGAATTTTATTTATTTATACAGTTTTGGACTGACTGGATCACACTCTGCAGCTATTTTGGGGAAAGATTTTAGCGGGTATTTGATAAAAGTTTGTGTTCAAATGTGCTTATTAAGATGAATATCGATAGAATTATAAATTATAGATCAATTTCTCATCAAACTAGAGTCCAGGATTTTATAGTCTTGGAAAACACACTTCGGGAAGCAAGCTTTTAAATATTATGCACCCAAGTATTGGAACAAAATTCAAAACCTGTTGAGATCAGATTGTCTATTTAAGATCCTGGTGTCCAACATAGAGCAGTACAAGTGTTTTCTTTAATTTAACTTGTACACTTTCTCTAACTTTGTGTAAAGTGTTTTATTTTGATTGACTGTGGCGTTCATTCTGTATGTGAGAGTATATGTCCGTGTAAATATCTATTCTTTGTGTTTTATTCTGTATTTATTCTGTGTTTTAGTAATAGCTGAAAAATGTGTTCTTTGCTTATTGTCATGCTTACAGGGTACCCATGAAAAAGAGAATATTTACTCTCATTGGGGCTTTTCCCCAAATAAATAAAGGCTAGAAAAGAAAAGAAGTACCATGTCATTTTTAAAGGGGAGTTCCAAACATAATAATAATGTTTTTTGCACTTTTTATGTTGTCTGACTAAAGTTATACCTGAGCAACAAATTAGAAACTAGTCACGTTCAGGAAAAAGGTGGCATACTACAGGGTAAAGGATTTCTTCTCCTTGTATCTACTCTTTTTTTCCTCATTTGTTTTGGGAAAAAAAACAAACCTGTAGTTTCCTGAAAAGGCACAAAAGTGAAATTCAGTGTTTCAATCATTAAGTATTCAAACAGTTTGAACCTTCTGAGTCTAAGATCCTGTTTTATCAATGTTTTAATAATATTTCTGATACGTTGGTAAGTTATCAGGGAGTGACGTTTCTCCAGCTCTTTGTATTTTTCTTCCCGTGGACATCACAGCTGGGCTCCGGTCCTGCTGCTGAATAAAGGTTCACAGAGGGAGGAAGGGGGACGACCGTGGCGGGGCGGAGGGGGTTTGATCTCTCTTCACAATAAGTGATGGACACCGGATCAATATCGACATTGACACAGCAGCTGTCCTGCTCCTATCAATGCTTCCTCGTAATTGCAGCGCCCAGTTTTAAAGGACAAACTCATTTCCATTAACATATTTTTTTTCTCCAGTTTGCAGAGACCATTTGGTGGCCAGTTGGTGTCCGATTCTGAGGGATCTGCTCTCATCAATACAGCTCGTTCTTATCGATAAGGGAAAGTGAAAGGTTCATGGGGGAGCAGCTGAAAATATACAAAGCAGTCATCGTGGGATCCGTCAGGGTTTTGGTGTTGGGCTTCGGACAACATGACTGTGAACAGATCTGATCTTAAAGTTAACCATACTAAAGTTATTGACATGTGTTGTGCCAAAATAAAAAATTATTATTCCAGTAACACGCTGTTGAGTGTAATTTATTTAAAGGTTGTCCCATAAATAGGAATGCAAAGACAATAAGCTGCTCAAGAAAGGAATTGTTAATTGATTATTTGAGCAAAGAAAGAAATTTAGCTAATTCACAGGCAACACATAAAAATTGAGCTTGAAGGTTCATTATTGATCTTGGAAACTTAAGTACAAAAGCGTCTTAGCACAAGGTTCATTTACCAGCTTTTCCCCTGAGCTTTCAACTCAGAGTCTTCCTCAGCAGCTTCAAGGTTTCTCAGTCATCATCTTGATCGCTGAGAAACATCCTGGAAAGTCAGTGAAAATTCCAGACAGTGTGTACAAAACTTTGTATGGTATGTGTGGTCACTGTAAAAGGTATCAATGAAATATTCTTACAAATCAACTCAGTGTCAGATTCCTCTCTATGCTACGATGCTGTCCAAGCGGTTGGTCGTCTTTTCTGCACAGGAGGATGTTCTTCAACAGTTCATCAGAGGAACTGAGTGAATACAGACTTAAATCATTGCAATATATTGTAGAGTTCAGTAAAAGCAGAATTTCTGATTAGAAATTGTATTAAAATAAAAGTCACAAAAATACAAAAGTACATGTAAAGGACTGTCCACCCCCGTATTACTCACACTTTTAAATATAATTAAATATAATTACATGTTGTACTTTCTTTTGAGACACCAGAACCAGTAGACGGCACTTATTTGTCTGAGAAAAGTAGCATTTCTATTGGTATACACAGACAGTCCTTTAACCAGTGACTATAAAAAGCCTCCTTAATATTCAGCTTTATTCAAATAACAAGAGAAAGACGGAACCAATGCCAGACACTTGAATGTCCACAGCTCAACTATTTCTGGTCTAAGAAATAGTTCCACACAAACAGTCGACCTGCTGCATGATGCTCTGGTTGGACGTGTCCAACGACATGATCCTGCTCTCCAAACATGTCCACCAACTTCACCAAACCCTTCAGGAAGCAGCTCCATTACGTATCACAGTGGTGTGACTCGATACTGACTTGTGATTTCTGGTCTTTGACCCCCGCTCTTCATCTGCGTCCTTGTTTTTTTTCATGATGTTCATTCTGTTGTTGGGAAGTTGTGTGTTGGAACATGAAAATAATTATTCCCCTACATGTTAAAAGAAGGGCTGTGAGGTGGCTCAGTGGTTAGCACCGTTGCCTCGCAGTTCGAAGGTTGCTGGTTCATGTCCCGGTGAGGACACACTGTGCGGAGTCTCCATGTTCTCCCCGTGCAGCGTGGGTTCTCTTCGGGTTCTCCAGCTTCCTCCCACACAGTCCAAAAACATGTTGGTGGTTCTAAATTGTCCGTAGGTGTGAATGTGAGTGTGCTTGGTTGTCTGTCTCTAAGTGTAGCCCTGTGATAGACTGGTTACCTGTCCAGGTGTCCTTCACCCTGAGTCAGCTGGGATAGACTCCAGGCCCCCATGACCCTGGTGAGGTTTAAGGTGTATAGATGATGGATGGATAAGCAAAAAGATAGGGCCTGTAGGTGGATGCACCATATTAACATGTCTTATAAAAAAGTAGAAAGTAGCTCCATATTCCTAAAGTTTGTGCTAAAGTGGGAGTCCACATCTAATTTCTGTGGGTTAACGTGGACACGGACTCTTTACTAGTTTCACATCGTACTATACGGCACTACTGCTCATCAAACACACAAAAACACTGAGCAGAGAATGTTCGTATAAAGTAGACTCACTAGTAGAACACCATAACATACACCTTGTACTTTGTGTCGTCTCTCTTTCGTAGTGTGTTTTGTTTGTGATCACTGCTTCGTTGTCACTTTGCCTCTGCTGTCCTTTCCTCTCTTCCCTTCACCCAAACCCGAACTGGTGGAGGCCGATGACTGCCCTCCCTGAGCCTGGTTCTGCTGCAGGTCTTCCTCCTGTTCCTCTCTGCTGTCGCAAATAGAAATAAGAAAAAAGGAAGATGCATTAAACAAGAAAGACAAATGGAAGAAGAAGAAAATAAAGCTTGTTCAAGTAGGTAGTCTAGAGAGTTCGTGGATTTGTCGGCTCTTCGTCACTTTAGTTCTGGATTAGTCAGGTTGATCTCTAACTTTAATAACGCTGTGTGGTCTGAGCTTTTATATTTCAATTAGTTGGGTTTATCTCCATACTTAATAATACTGAAGGATCTCAGCCTCAATACTTCAGTCAGACAGCTTAATCTCCATAATTATTAATGCTATTTGGTCTTAGCCTTAATATTTCAATTATTCAGGTAAATCTCCATAATTGATAAAGCTGTAGGGTCTTAACCTTAATACTAAAACTAGTCAGGTTAATCTCCTTAATTAGTTATACTGTAGGGTCTGTGCCTAGGTCAAGTTGTAAATTTTAAAGTTGTATTTTTTAGCATTTTTGCAGCGTTTTCATCCTTAATTTTTAACATTATAAATATCACGGTGGGGTCTAAGCCTTGATATTGAAATTAGTTCAGGTAATCAAACTAATAATACTGTGTGGTCTTAACATTTATATGTAATATGATCAGGTTAGTTGTACTTTATGTCATTTGTGTAGGGTTTTAACCCTGAATATACTCAGGTAACTTTTTATTTTTCATTACTTCAATTTCAACTTATTTCAGTGTTTTGTTTTGTTTTTCCTTCTTTAATGGGAGGGTATGAATTTATTTGAGGACGACTGTAGGTGTGATGAGCAGCAGCAGGGCTGTCCGGATGAGCCTGTGTCCCTGCAGCTAGGTGGCGCTGTCACACGCTGCACGGTGGCCGTCAGAGGTGATCGATGGCCGGTGTCCATCCCCAGAGGAGGGAGGCTGAGCTCCAGCATCTGCCCGCAGCGGCTCTGCTCGTCAGTAGCGGAGCAGCGCGTGAGGAGGAAACAACCATGAGAGAGTAGCTGGCACGCGCGGACAACTCTAACGTCAATGGCGTCTGTCAAAAGGAAATTATACCAGCGTTTGCTGTTCTTTCTCGTTTTTCTTCCAATCTCAGGTGAGAAGCCTTTTCACTTTTATCATGTGTGCGACTGTTTTTTATTTTTAAAAGCAGGATAGGGTTTGTTTCATCACTGACTGAGCGGTTTGATGGTGTGGAGACTTGACCAGAGCTCCAGATGCTCCGTTTAAACTTTCAACTGAAATCCAACTTTTAGCTCCCGCTAGCCTCAAACGACGAATAAACAGGATTATTAGCTGCTTAAACTATTTTAAACGTTTACATTTTCGGCGGATAAATAACCTGTATTGTTTTAACCTTCATGAAACGCTAAAATATTGTCTAACTTTGTGTGAAATTGGCAGTAAATCGTCGTGTTTTAGCTCATTTAACCCTCTGTGAACTCTGTAACGCAGCAGTTTCTCCTCAAAATATTCAACTATTAGTTTAAATGTATATTAAACACTTTATGTATGAAAGTTCAGTCCAATTTAACCACCTCGTTTTCTTGCTGCATCAGTTTCTAAGCCATAGCTAGCTAAATATAGGAAGATAAAATAAATGATGACATGAAAAAATACTTTAAATGACTCGTTAGAGCTGAGCAGAGGTGAATTAAATGACTATTTATAGTGTAAAGTACTAGAAAGTAAATCTGTGACTCCTCAAATTAAACATCAAAGGTCAGTCCAGCATGAACCATCAGAAAATCAAACATACAGGAGAGTTATTGATGAAATTATTATTAATATGACGAAGATGTATATTGTGGACAAGATCCATACATGGTCTGATTCAGGAGAAAATCTATAAAATCTAAATTTAGCAATTTCCCTGAGGTCTTGTACCGAAGGGATTAATAAAGTTTTATTCTTTTTTATTCTAAAATCCCATTGTTGCTGCCTTAATGTGGATTAAAAACAGTTTTAGGTCGTTAGATTAATGCTTGGCCCTGAAAGTGAAGTTGGCCCTTTATTATTAGGTTTCTGTGTAAACTGCAGGGACTAACAGGATAATCTGTGTCACCTTCAGCCGCTGACTTTATAGCTTTAAGTAAGTGGAGCAGAAAGACCTAATGAAGCCGCGGTGTGATTACTGTACTGGGCGCTTGTCCTCATGCTGGCAGACCTCCAAGCCTCTTAAACGTGATATTTCTCCTTCATCCGTGTCACGCTTCTATCCACTAACACTGATCGTACCCAACTACAGGATGTTGAGCCACGACCTGTAATAATCGCAGTTACTGACTCCAGATAATAAGCTTCGTGCATCCCCATAAGCCAGCGCTTCGACTGGCGTGTAAATGCTTTAAATTCTTTGTTGGACTCCTGACGGCGCCTTGTTCCTCTGCCCTGACAGAAGGCCCCATGCTGATCACCACCTTCGCTTCTCCTGTGCTTCTCTGACTGCTCTCTCTCTCTCTCTCCACAGGTGTTTTCTGCTTTAGCGAGTTATTCTTCGTCAAGGAGCCCCACGATGTCACTGCCATGCGGAAAGAAGCGGTGATCTTGGACTGTCAGGCGCGTGGAGAGGCAACCATTGATGTCAGATGGCTCAAGAACGGAGTAAAAGTCGTGGAGAATGAACGGGTGTACCTGTTCTCCAATGGCTCCCTTTATATTTCGGAGGTGGAGAGCAGAAGAGGAGACAAATCAGATGAAGGGTTCTATCAGTGCCTCGCTCAGAACAAGTATGGAGCAATCCTGAGCCAAAAAGCCCGTCTTACAATCGCAAGTGAGTATCCGTGCTGGAACTGTATTGGAGATGCAACAGTGAGGAGGACACGTGATCGACAACAGACACAGTCAATAGTTTTGTATTCTGGCTGTTCAGCTGATGAGATTCAAATCTAACTTCACATATTTATTTTTATTTTTGCTGCCCAGTGTTGCATTCAGAGCATCTTTGGTGGTAGCAGGAAGAGAAACATCGTCTTCAAAGTTAGAGCTTAAAAAAAAGATGCTGCTCAGAAGGGGAAAATGCCCATTGGTGTGTTAATGAAGGCGCAAGAGATCTGAAAGGTTAGGAACTGACCAGGATACTGGTTCTCCAGTGCTAAAGAGCAGATGACCCCTATTCACTGGCCTGGGCTTTCATGTTATTGCACCCCTGGTCGCTTGAGGAATTGTTCTTTTGGAATGCTTTCTCCTCCAGTTCTGGCCTCGTATTTTAAGAAGGAGGTGGGGAAGCTTCAGGCAGAGTTGGGCTTTTGGGACCTTATATCCCCTCCTCCTACCTGCAGGCCATGCATCTTGCTGTGCCCACTTTGGTGGAATGAATGTGAAACATTTTACCCAGCTGCCACTGCATTCCCATCTGTGCTGAAACATGCATTCTTAACATTGCGTGCAAGATGCCGTAATTTAATTTTATATTGAAATGAAAAAAAAGGCAGAAAATAGATGTTTTTGATGTCTTGTCCGGTGATTAGGGCTTTCATGTAATCCTAGACTGTTTTACATTGAAGGCCGTTTCTCCTACAATGTGATGCAGACACTGGAAAGATGAAGAGAAGCAGTTTAGAAACTTTGTTATTGTTTTTGAACATTAATTCTGAGGGTTTTCTCAGTCAGCAATAGTAGATTTCTTTGTATAAAATCAGTTTCCTTTGGCACCTCATGTCCGTATGAAGAGTAACAGGACCTCAATAACATGCGGAGAGCAATTAGTGTGAGTTACATACCAGCTTCAGGGCCTTTCTTTTTTTTAACATAAATTATTCCGAAGCAGTACTTTACCACATGCAGTGCTCTCTGGCAGAGCTCACAGGCACATCTCAGATATGTTCAGGTACCTACAGAGTTTATATATTTTTATTAATTGATTGAGTAGTTTACCTGCTTTATAGCTTGAAGTTAAGAGGTGATAAAGGCCGCCAGTAAGCTTTACTAGTTTGTTTTAAAATGGCACTTAGACCTGCTGGAAGGTCTATCTGGAAGCTCATAAAATTTTCACATACCTGAGAAATGCTCAGTTGAAGGACACAGGGGTAGCGATGGGGGTTGTTGCGAGTGGTCTGCACACACACAAACACACACACATACGAATGTGAATTGCTGTTTCCCAGTACTGCGGCTTTACCCTGAGTATCTAAATGACCAAACTTTATTGCAGGCCCTACCAGGTCAGTAGGGATTCGAGGCTTTGCACACAATTGTTTTCTGCCTCACTACTCTGGTGAAAGAGTGAAAAGCTTTTCACTCTGACTGTTTTTGTCCACATTGCCTCCCGTGCTCACAAAAGAAAAGGGGATTCTTTGGGGGGGGGCAATTGTTTGTCCCTTAAATAGGTGGACAAAATAGCTGGACCTAGTGACCACAGAATGACTAATTACATTAATTGTAAAAGTTAAAGATTCGTGAGTCCACAGTTTGATTGCAAAATCAGGGTGGCACTGCTCATTACCACTTTCTTGTATGATCTGCCTGTTAGATAAAAGTCTGCTCAGAGGATATGTGAGCATTTGATTTTGATGTTTGTTAACCAGAGAAATCTTTTAATTCAAGTGGTATTGTGTCCGCAAGTCTTTTCATATGTTAATTCCTTAGTTGGAAGACAGATAGTAGGACATGTGGGGAGCCTCAGTACCTGCTTTCCAGAGGCGATGTGATACCCCTCTTTATCATGTTGACATGTTTTACGTCTCAGGGGCAGGAGCTACAGTCCTTGGGAGCTTTTCAGCCCTTTGCTCATGAGCTGTGTACCTGCTAGCTGTTAACTGAAGAGCACGGTGGTGATGGAGGGTAAACTTAAACATTGGGGGCTAATAAAGCACAAAGGTGAGACGGGATCTGGCCTTGATGAAAAGGAATGTGACACCTGAGCCGCATCGTGTGACTTTTGTCAATAGACCTCAGATTGATGGGGATTTCAGGAGACAGATTGCCTCCTGAGTTGGCTCCCTTCCTCTGGCCTCTTACGCCACGTGACCACAGGTACCTAAGGCATGAAAACAGAGAGAGGAAAATGTCAGATTCCTCACTAACTTGTGCAGGTATTGCCCACATGTTGCCCCGTGGACACTGTCAGATGTAGAAAATGTTCTCGATGTCAGGTTTCACAGATGCACTGCAGATCATTTCACTTACGTCGATAGTGAAAATCACTTTGTGATGTTACTGCTCTGTTGTGGACTCGCATTATTGATGCACTAAAAAGCAAAGTCTTTGGGCAAGAGTTCCAAGAACAGTTGAAATCAATGAAATCAGGTTGTTGAAGGTAGATGTTTGGACGTGTGTTGGAGAATAGCCCACTGTTGGGTTTGTACAGCGTAATTACATAACATTATGTGGCAAGAGAAAAATGCTATCAGGTCATTTTCTCTAACTGAAACAGAAACACAACATTTTATTATGACACAAGGAAAAGAACTGTATTTATGTGGGTCTGATCCATCACGGCACATATACCATCTGCATATTCAAGCAGTGCACTCCTAGCCTGTCGTCCAATAGAAATGTGAATAATTTAAACAAACTATGACCATGAGGTATATTTTCTTGTAAAGTCTAATGAGTGCTACTGTAACATAAAGCTTCTTATACACCTCAGTGCAATATAATAGTCTTCTAGTGTAGGGTTTTGGTGTGTTTTTTCTAGTTTTGGTAAAGAGAAGGATCGTTCTCACAAGTGCAGGTGTCACTATTGAAGACATATACTCACATGAATTCTGGCACTGACCATTATTCACTTTGTGTTTAAAGCTGATGACAAAACAAGCTTTAAGGGAGGTATTTGAAGGAGCTGCTGCAGTTGACTTACAATGTTTATTTTACCTCACTGGTGTGTCCATAGGCAGCCAGGTCGGGACCGCAGCATTATTTTAAGTTGCTAAGGAATGCATCTGACTTGCACTGGCTTGGCACAATTAGAAGCCCCAATAAGACGAAAGCAAACCTTGCACAGTGTGAACTGTGACGTGAATGAATGAAATGCCCTTAAGTGGGACAACTCAAAGCCTGGAATCTTGTTTTTCTCCTCTGCTGGATACGAAAGGTTACCATGGTTCCCCTGAACGGCAGGCCGAGAGGTCAAAGGTTTCTTTAAACTGTCCAATAGATGGAGGGCAGCGAGACCGAGAACGGGACTTAAATCTTTCCTACAATAATGCTGGATGCTCGTCGAGTTTATCAGCTGCCTTAGTAGTCATCAGTGGATCTGCTTTTGTTTCCATGAGCATCTTTTTCTGTTTTATCTCTTTGAAAACTTTTATTTGTCTTTTTTTCCCCGGGTATTCCAGTGGTTTAATAGTAAAATTTTAAAAAGCTGTTGTTAAAAACAGAGTGTAGGTATTTATAGATTGACTTTTTTAACTTTGTCCTCTGATGTGGAGATTAAAGACAATGAAGCCACTGTCTCAGTGGAGGGTTGCTGTTGAGTGATTGGAAAACTTTGTGGCAGAGATAAGGAGTTGGAGGAGGGGGAGGAATGCTCTTCCCAACACTGCTCCCCCACCGCCCATTCGGTGCTTTGAGAGGTCACACCGCTCATGGGAATAGCTCTTTGTTTAGCCAGGCCAGTGGTCACTTGACTGTCCTGCAGCCTGTGTGGAGCAGCAGCACATCTGCCATCCAGCCAGTGATTGATTTGTGGGCTTTCTCAGCTTTGCATTCTTCTTCTTGCTTATCAGCCCTCTTTTTTCTGCAGTCTTTTTACTAATGTTCAGTGGGTTCAATGAACATTGTAAAGGACTCATCACTCAATTAAATGGTGGTGCTTTTCACCACTGGTGGAATGAGCAAATAAAAAGTAAAATAAACTTTTTTTGATGTAACCACATAGTGCACTTTAGGGATCATACCCGTAGGAGGAGTATATTTAAAAGTTGTGAGGGTTGTTTATGTGATTCAGCAAAGGGCCCAGATTTCATGGGTCTCCTGATGGCCATCAATTCAGTGTGCAATCTGCAGCATCAAGAGAGGATGATCAATTTTAATGTCTCACCCAAAGATTGGATCCTGGGGGTGGGTTGGCGTAGGGATGGTTGGGGGCCATCACTGCAAACACAACACAAGCAGCTTTTGTTAGCCACTGTGTTGAAACTAAGTTGAGGTAAACATACTGACAGCATCTCAGGTCTTTAGAACTGGGAGAAGGACTTTGTTTGACATTTTCACAGCAATATCTTATCCTGGCACTACAGAATCAATGACAATTTGTTTGACACAGAAAAGTCCCCAAAAACTATGAACTATGGGTAGAAAGTCATATACAAAGTGCATATAGGCTAGTATAAGATGTGCAGAGTTCTTTGATGCAGATTGCCATGACAGCTATTTTAGCATTTGAAGATGAAGATGAAAGTTCTTTATGTAGTTTTGATAGCAGTCAAAGTTTACCCCTTAGTAGCACTAAAAGCTCACATGCAAGTGAAGTACGTGCTGTGCTGTGGCTTAGAAACTGACCGCAGTAACCAGAGGAGAGAGGGCTGAACTAATTCCTGGCATTTGTAGGAGAACCTTTGTTTGGGCCTGACCTGTCCACTGACCTTTAGTTTGTTGAGCTGCTGGCATCAGGAGGCCCATCTGCTGCAAGCTGAGGAGCAAGCGAGTATAGTTTTACTTCTCTGGTTCAATTCAAACTACGAGCTGAACTACTGTAAAAACAGAAAACAGGAGGACATATAAAACAGACTGGTATTTGTCTGTTTAGCTTCAGATTCTTAACTCTGAACATTGCTGGTAATTAGTTGTATAGTTGTGACTCAAACTCATGAAAATCATGCTGATAAATTCCTTCCCTCTCCTGTCTGATATGGTGAGAGTGAAAGAAGATGACAGCTTTTAAACTGATGGTTAAACGTCTGGGAGCAGCTGGACTATATCTATTGTTTTATTTGCTGTAGTAGCAACAATTGGCAGATGCCACTGATATAACAGAGAAGGATGTTATTACAAAACATACTTTTCAAGTCACATAACAAGAGAAAGGGATTTCTCGGCAGCAGTGACCAGCAGCGCTGGTTTGGGGTGGTCATCCAGGGCTCTGCTGAGTTGAGGGCGAGCCAGGATTTGTGGAGGTCAGAGGTGAGAGGTGAGATTGCTGGGAAGGGCAGATGGTCAGAACTGTTTCTTCAAGCTTTCGGGGAATAGCCTGAGATATTTATTCTGTGTTTAAGTGAGAGGAGAGGGCAAAATGTTATGCCAAAGGTTTTATGTTTGTATATTTTAGTGTAGTAAAGGAAATGACATGTCACTGTTTACATGCACAAGGTTTTTTTTTGCCTTCCATTTTTCTTTAGTGAAGCACAGATATTAGGCTGACTAAATGTGTATCACTAAGTAAATCACAAAGAGCTTGATTTGTTTGCCTTGATAATTTCATCCATACATTAGATACCCCTCTGCAAACATCATCGCTCAGAGCAGAAGGTTAGCCTCCTATTTTCAGCTCGGAGTGCTCGGGCCAGTGTGCGACAAACCCTAACACTTATAGATTTTCCACCTTGTCGTACTAGTTTATCAATAATCAATGATTATCCTGCTGTTTGTCAATTCAGAATCACTTGACTGAGTGGAAGGGCAAAGCAGAGAGGAAAAGGATCAGTGCAGCTCATCTCTCATGCCCCTGCAGTCATATCACTTCAGCACGTTAATGGCATTTTTGTAGGAGCATGCGTTAACGGAGGAGGGGTGAGAGAGGGTGGCTGTGTGTGGGAAAGAGTGCCCGATTGCCTCTCCCCACTTCTGTCTTCACATCAGCCAGCCACAGCCGGGCTACAGGGGTACCAGCGCAAGACTAATTTGATTAAATGTGTCTTTAGTGAGGAGATCTGATCCTGACAGCACTTTTCCTCTTGTCCAGCATGAACGGTTTATTGGCAGATACACAGTCTGACAACAACAGCACTGTAGTAAACAACATCCACGCATTTCATATTTTCAAGTTCCCCCTTTAAGTCCTGTAATGGCACTACGACACAGAATAAAATATAGCCCCAATAGTCATTTTAAAATTTAGTTTAGCAGTTATAAATACAAATTATTTCAATTAAAGTCTAGTAATAAGAAATAGGAAATGATTTTAAGGCAAGAACCAAGACTGTCAATCCTTTCTTGGTCAAAATGACGTGTTTTTTCCTCCACAAATGTCAGCGTGATTTGCAGGCGTGTTGCTGTCAAATGTGTAAAAGTCATAATTCACTGAATGTTATTTCTGGCAGTCTGAGCACTCCTGCTGTTTAGCACCACAACACCTGGCAACTCCGCTTACACACAGCCATTCATCATTCCCCTCATACACACCACTGTGTGTTTATTGCAGTGTAGGGATTTCCTGCAGCCTTTTCTCGAAAGCAGAGATTACCATCACAGCATGGTGCTTAATGCCCTTTGTGTAGAAACATAGCAAGGAGGATGTTGGATATTAAAGTCAGAAATACAGTCGCCAGTGTGCAAGGCAGACATTTATGTCTTCTCACAGTTTTGTTTGTGCTTGTTTCTCCTGGTTACCAACAAAGTTTTATGTTTGTATCATGTTCAGTTGCTTAATTAGAAGAAAAGTTAATGTGATTTTCATTTATCCCTCTGAACGTATCTCATGCAGCTTCTTTCAAACTGTAGAAGACCTGAACCCTTCTTGGATGTTGTTTGAATGGTGTTTGGTATGTTTATCGGACAGATATGGTTTCAACTTGATGCACTCCTTCCTGCTCTTTTGTGTTTCTTCTTTGCTGAGTGCTGATGGCTCACTGCAGCAGAAGCGACTCTGAGTGTGTGTGCAGAGGTTAAAGAGCACCACGGTGTGTTTGTTTGTCCATTACTTAAGAGGTGATAGTTTCATCTCAAAAGCAGGCAGTGCTTTACCTCTTTATCTTGAAAATGGGACTACTGAAATTAGAAATAGCGGAAATGGGTTGAATGCAAAGATATAAGACTTTATCTGTCTGACCAATTGTAAAAATCCTTTACAGTCTATTGATTGGTCCATGCTGGTGCCATCCATGATTGATATATTTGTTATAGTTAAAAGTTAGCATGCTGTGAAACTTACTCTTCTCCCTATCACAAACAGCAGTTCAATTGATTTCTGTTAACAAATGACTGACCTCAGGGTTCTGCAGCTTTTTGAGAAGAGGGGGATGGTACAGCAGTGGGTGACCTCAATGCCTTTTAGGACTTTTATGGCTCTGCAGGAACTACTGTCAAAGAGAGCATTCATTAACAAAAACAGCTAAAACAACTTAAGTCATTATAAAATGCATATCCTTCTCCTGCTGTATAAAAGGCCTTATTGTAATTCGTGTTGGGTCTCATTTGCTTGCTGCTCAGCTGGTGGCTGACAACAGCTCAGTTTCAGGGAAACCCTATCCACGCAGGATGTAGCTGTTCCACTCCAGTCATCACCTTCCTGCAGCACTCAGCATGTCTCTAGCTTTAGGTAATAGGCATCTCTGTTTTCAGACTTCGACTGGATCTGACTGAGATGGATGGGTGTCTAAAATGTGTATTCTTTATAAAAATACGTATTACCTGTGAGAAATAATCATCATTGAGATTTCTTTTGTAGAAATGTCCACATAGTTTATGTATAATGGCAATTTTATGGTTGAAATCAGATTTCCTTCCGGATTTAGGACCTTTTACATAATGATGGCCGTGAAAGCAGCTTTGTCTTTATTCATTTAATTGACTTAAACCTAAAGTGGGCTTTGAGTTTATGTCAAAGCAAAGTTTGAGACAACGCATGGAGCGAAATTCAACACTGGCTTTCACAAGAAAGAAACACCTCAAGGGAGTTTCCTGTGACTTTATCTTAGAAGGACTGCATGTGAGGGATAAAAAACGTGAATGCTGTCTCTGTTGTGGGGAAGAATCCTGCTGGAGTAACCAATCATCTGGGCTAGTTCTCCTCATACTGCCTTTTGACAAATTGACAGCCTCAATATGGGACTCAATAATCGTTTGTGTGTTACAAATTCATTACTAGTCAGATGAGATAATGATAACCTGCTGCTAGTTTGATCTTACTGACAAGTTTGTGATTGTGACAACGTGGCAGTTTTTGGGTCATCTCAGCATCTAACCCATCTATTTATTGATAGACACTTTATAACATCCCATTCTGATATGCTATGAAATCAATAATTTAAAAAAAAAAAAACATTGTTGAAAAATCAGACTAGTAGTTAAATTTGTTTTGGCCCTGGTAATACAGACCACATTTTTTCATTTGTAAGAAGTCTTTCATTTGTGTCTCGTTCTGTTTTCCTGTAGGTATCTCCGCTTTTGCAATCCAGCCGACATCCATAGTGGTGACTGAAGGCTCAGTTGCCAGGTTTTCCTGTAAAATCAGTGCACACCCTCCTCCCATCATCACTTGGGAGTTCAATCGGGTCACATTACCCCTCACCACTGAAAGGTATGCACTCGGTTGTTTTCAGTTTAGCCTCATGGTATTCATTTACATGTTTATGTAAATGAATACCAAACATATTTTTTGCAGCAGGACTTGACAGATAATCTGTGACCACACTTAGCCATTATCAGTTGCTAGAAATACTAGTAATTGCTCCATATTGTTAGTGATAAAAGCTGAGTTGTATTTGTGCGTGTCTCCATCATTCAGAATCACAGCCCTGCCCAGTGGTGTTCTTCAGATCCACGGGGTGCAGCGGGCGGATGCTGGAAACTACCGCTGCGTTGCTACCAACATTGCCAGCCGTCGCCGAAGCATAGAGGCCACCCTCACTGTCACCCCAGGTGTGTCAGCCAGCTCTGGTTTTACAAATGTGTTGAGTCAGTGGTCAATAGGTTTTTGAAAGGCTCATTTATTCACTAACAGGACATTACAGGGAGGTTTTTACGTGACTAAAGTTGTCTTCCTGTATCTCTGCAGCTCCCAGCCCCCAGCTTCCCCAGAGACCACGCATCATCGCCGGGCCACAGAACATTTCGGTGTCACTGCACCAGAATGCCATCCTGGAGTGCATGGCCACAGGCAATCCCCGACCCATCATCTCCTGGAGCAGAGCAGACAGCAAGTCCATTGATGTTTACAACACCAAAGTGTTAGGAAACGGCAACCTCATTATCACAGACATCAAGCCCCGCCACGGAGGAGTCTACATGTGCAGAGCCACCACGCCCGGCACACGAAACTACACTGTGGCCGCTGCCAATGTCACTGTACTAGGTATAAACAGTCTACCAAACTATGGCTGTATATGTTTTGATTTTATATTGATAGTTTATAACTTAAATCATTGCTGTCGTTCTTCTAAAGCACCACCTTCCCTGTCGGAGTGGCCGGAGAGCCTGACCCGTCCCCGTGCTGGCACCGCCCGCTTTGTGTGCCAAGCTGAAGGAGTTCCCACGCCTCAGATCACTTGGCTCAAGAACGGAAAGAAAGTTCACTCTAATGGTCGGATCAAGATGTACAACAGGTATGTTTCACTCTGGTTCACTTAAAAATGGATCCCAGTGACCCCATAAATTTCCTCCCTCACATGTCAAATGTATTTGCGTCACATACTCTGACATAATGAACAGAAGGCCTAACTCCTTAAACCGTGAAACACTCATTAGCGGTTGTTGTTGACCAATTTACACAATTTAAATAAATAATTTGCTCGCGCTCCTACAGTAGAAAGGAAACTGAATAATTTATAGGTGTGCAAATGGGATTTTAGTTGCTTTCCCTGTAATTCGCTCCTGCTCCTTATTCAACTGTCAGTGCTTGTTAAGGTGACTATAGAATGACTACACCCTGGAAAAAGGGCCTCAGAAAGAGACAATCTGGGTGCATTCTCATGTGTCTATCTGTGTCTGTGTGTGTGTGTGTCTGTATCTTAGCAAATTGGTCATCAACCAGATCATCCCTGAGGATGATGCCATCTATCAGTGCCAGGCAGAGAATGAGCAGGGATCGGTCCTCTCCATGGCGAGGCTCATTGTGGTGATGTCAGAAGATCGACCAAGTGCGCCCAGGAATATCCGAGCTGACACGGTGTCGAGCTCTGCCATCCTTCTGGCTTGGGAGAGGCCTCTGTATAACTCAGATAAAGTCATTGCCTATTCTGTGCACTACATGAAGGCTGAAGGTGAGGACATTTTTTTTATTGCGTCTTTGTCACACAGGGACAGCGTTATCTGAATTAGAAGGAAACTGTTAATATTTTAAGACATTTTATGGCATCTTCCTGCCTACAGAGCTTAATGAAGGTGCAAACCCTGCATTATCAATGCTACGTTGTTGGACAGAGGTCACAAAAAGGCAGAACTCCAGAGTGAAGTAGAATGACAGCCTTTTTTAAACAAACAGAAGTAGCCATCAGAACCATAGTCCTGTGGAGTTTCAAGATGCAGGGTGCCTTCCTTTGGCTGACAAAATGCAGGATGAACACAATACTATTCACTAAAAGCACAAGGGTTGCAGTGTGGCAGCAGAAAAGCCTTAAAGCCTTTCAGCCTTCCTGGGAACTCTTGCTCTTGACAACAAGAGTCACATTCAGACAATGTAACATTTCAGGAAAATGTGAAGCCTATGCATTCAGGCACCACACTTCATTATAATGCCACTGACTTCCATTGGGGAGGTGAAACATACAGAATTCAACTTGGGAAAAAAGGACCACCTGCTGGATTTTGTTGGGGATAAGAAGGTCAAAAAAAAAAAAAGAAGGAACGAGCTGAACAAATTCCCTGTTTTATTCTTGAATAATTGGCATCTGTCAGGGATTTTCTGCACTTGATACAGATTTCTTGACACAGTCTTCTTGGCCCCAGCCAGAGAGAATAGCTTTTCACTGACATTGACAGAGTATCAGACAGTACACTCTGCACCTGAGGTTGTTGACAGAGAGGCTTGGCACTAAATTGAGGCTCTACTGAAAAGAGGAACTAATTAGCCTGCGCGATGGAGTGTCCAAAAGTGTGTATTCTGTGAGGCATGAATTGAACAGAAAGCAAGCTTTATTAAACTTTGCAGCGAGGCTTACTGAGGCATTCAGACGATAGAGACTGCTTTTTTTTTGTTTACTCTGAAGTATTTTGTTTACCAGGTCAAAAATCAGACCAGGTCATTTTTTCCCCCCAGAACACAAATACATCTTGTGTGTGACTTTGCTGAACTGCTCTAATTAAAAAGGCCATAAAGGGAAGAGTGTAGCTGCACAATATTTAGTGATGACATTTTTATGAATGAAAAAGCTTTGAGAATACACAGAACTGCATTTGACCTGTTTTAAAATAGGACAAGGTGAGTGAACCAAGGTTAACTCATTTTATGCTCTTGTCACTGGTCCAGGATTAAACAATGAGGAATATCAAGTTGTCATTGGAAACGATACAACTCGGTACATTATTGATGACCTGGAGCCAGCTCGCAACTACACCTTCTACGTGGTGGCCTACATGCCCATGGGAGCCAGTCGAATGTCGGACAACGTGTTCCAGCACACGCTCGAGGACGGTGAGGCCTGCGCTCGGGGAAAATCATAAATCATAAAGTCCTTCACACAGTGATCACAAAATCAAAACCAAGTAGCACAGCAGAGCGAAAGTCTATATTACACGGACTTGTGTGCAGGCATGGCAAGCATGAGGTAGCCTGAAATAGATACTGGAATGCCTGTAGATAAGTGAATTATGGACAATCACGTGGGTCACATTTTCACATTAATTACTTTAAAATATTATATCATTACTTTAAACAGGATGTGTGACTGCATCATGTAGTGATACTCATTATAATGTGGCAGTTTTTATATGTTTTGCCTTACAGTTTTACTCTGTTTCCATAAGGGGACAATATGGAAAAGCCACTGTACATATAATTTTATACTGTAATGCTGACACATATTATAACACATATATAACACATGTATAACTCTTTTTAAAGGCAATGTAGCCAAACAGGGATATGTGTTTTGGCTAATCCAGCAAATTAAATACTGGATCGTACTGATAATTTACCCTAGTGATACATAAATCACATAAAAAATCTAATTTTGCCATAAATCAATCTTCACCTTTGGCAACCGTTCTGGCCTAATGCAACTGAAAAATGAATTGGACAGAAAAATTGGCATATCCCATAGTTACTGCTGCTAACAGCATGTGTACTTTAATACTGCAGGTCTCATAATTCTGGTGACACTTTTTAAGCAGCTGCTTTGTTAGCAGTACATCACAGCCATCAGTAGTGTTTCTGTTTAAAAGCCAAACCACATTGTGTTGTTTCAGTAATTCAACTTTTCAATCATGTCATGAGCAAGAACCGTTTTTGATTTTATGCTGGTCATAAGCGTGAATAGTTTTCCTTTCCAGTTTAGACAAACCTTCGGAGATGATAGCTATTCGAAAGCTTTTACTGTTTGATTTAGACGTGCATAATGCGGTGAGGTGATCGTTTGAGTGTCACACTTAATGTTCCTGTCTTGGTCCATAGTTCCCCTCCGTGCCCCGGAGCTCAGCCTCACCAGCCGCAGCCCCACAGACATCCAGGTGTCCTGGCAGCCTCTTCCAGACAAGCTCAGCCGTGGCCGAGTCTCCGGCTACCGCTTGTCCTATCGCACCAGCTCTGAGAGTGCAGTCTCACAGATAGAACTACCTGGAGAAAAGACCCAACATCTGCTGGAAAACCTGCAGCCTGACACCATCTACCTTCTGCGTATTGTTGCCGCCACCAGCGTAGGGTGGGGTGAGCAGTCTGCCTGGACGTCTCACCGCACTCCAAAGGCATCCAGTGCTCGAGGTACAACATTTTCATGAACTGTCCCCATGATTTATGAAATGGCAGCATGTCATCATAAAGATGAAAAGTGATTTTGACCATTTCAAATGTGGTGAAAATGAAAAAATAATCTCATTTACAAAGAGGAAGTTGATCCAAACGGCTGAATTATCACTGCTCTCCCTTGTTCAGATAGAGCAGAGCTTGCTCTAATAATCTTGTTAAGGCATTGCGTTTGTTACTCTGTGACCTTTGCTCTGCACTGTCAGTAACACTGGAAGGGCTTCAGTCATGGGTCATAAAGGGAGCGACTCAGGCCTCCGGGTGGGAAAAAGTATAGGGCTACATCTGAAGCTTTGATGCGGGGGATGGGAGGATTCGTTTTTCCTGCCCATCTCTATTGCCCTCAATCCCCAGTTTAAACCCGGACAGGGGTCTTCAATTGGAAGGCCTTCGTTCCCTTCGTTCCTAAAATGAAAATGTGTGAAATGGCTCCCTGTTGTGTGGTTTTCCTGGGTCTGTATTGAGTGTGAAACAGCTGGTGAGGCATCATATGGCAGTTTTCAAAGAAAACCTGGCCAGGAACCTCCTCTGTTCTTCACAAACACTGGAAACAGCTGAGTGCTTATGTTCCAGTTTTCTAAGAAAAAGTGCCTGTTTTCTGAAAAACTTCAGTTATATGGTATACACAGAAAAACAGTGATTTAAAGTTTTGGGTTACATTCCCACTCTAAATAATTTTCTTGAGCACAGTATGGAAATGAAAAGCATGTCAGCAGCAGCAGGATGGTTTCTTTCAACATACAGAGCAACATCTGGATCACATGGAATTTTATCCAGAGTGTTTTTGTTGTTAAATTTTTTTTTCTGGTTCCTATTCTTTCTACAGTTCCTCTGGCTCCCGAGCTGCATTTGGAGCCTTTAAACTGCACCACTATTTCAGCACGATGGCAGTTGGCACCGAGAAACTCAGCCAGTGTGCAAGGCTACAAACTCTTCTACCACGAGGAGAGTCAGCCTGAGAGCGCCCCGTTGCAGCTGCGCGCCTCCGATTATGCCCACACCATCGGGGGCCTCGGTGAGTTTTGCTTCAGGTCACCTTGTGCCAGTGTTGTACCTAATATGTAGGTCATTATGCACTATCTAGATAGACGTTCTATATTTATACTGCAAGATTTTGAGGAATTCTGCAGGAGAAAAGTGATCTTCTCTGACACTAAAGTTAGTCATCTAACACCGTGATTAGTGTTAATAACTAACATAACTGATGGGGTGGTGTACATGTTGTGCGTTGTTTATGGAAGGTTATTAAGCAGCTAAAACACATGTCCCATATTAGAGTGTATAAAAACAACCAAAAACAGAAGCACAACATAGAAGGATTTGAGCACTCACCTACGTATTTCTACATATTGTAAGCTCAATGTTTTCAGGAAAATAGTGGACAGATTTGGTTAAAACCAGCAGCAGCAGCATGTATTGATAGTCGAGCATATGAGCGATCAATCGGCTAAAGTCTTGTCACGTGTGGAGCAAAGGTTCATTAGGCATGGAGCACAACAGCATCACGTCACACTTCCATGACCTCCCAACCTCTGCGTGCGGCTTTTCTGAGACTGCTGGACAGTGTTTGAGGGATATCACGGCTTTTTTTCTTCTTTTTTGGCCTTTAGGTCAGATTCATTTTGACTTTTTTTGTTCGAGAGAGGAAAGGGGTCTCAGGCCAGTGCAGTGGACAACTGACCATCTGTGGCCAGAGGGGGTCAACCAGGTGGCCAGCAGCTGACTTGTAAATCAGGAAGCTCTGAGCTTGAATGAGATCAGAAAGAAAGAAAAAAAAAAGTAGAGGAAGCACTATAAATTACTATAGGTGTTAACTCTAACTGCTGCAGGCATTTTGTTAGTTAGATATTCACTTTGGGAAACACGACTACTTTTGATGCTAGTGCTGGAATATACCCGCTATGAAACACATTACTTATACTTACTATTTCTACTCGTAAGACTGGCATTAATAATGATAAACTGTTAAAGTTACATAAATACTGACTTTATTTATCCAAATCTAAACCCATTTCCCTGTGATGCTGCTATAATAATGTTTACAGATGGTGGTCAGAAAGAAGTAACCAAAGTATTTCCCCTTCATTCAATTTAATTTGGGTTTTATTGAGTATTTTATTTTTACACTATTTGATTTTGTTTCAGAAGTGTTTTAATATGCAGAAGTCAGCTGTTTCTAAGTTTCAGTATTTTTTTCATGACTCTTTCTTGTGCTGAAAAATTAAAAAAAATATATTCTTGGAAGATGAGCAAGCTGCAGTTACTCTGTAAAATTAGCACAGTTAAAAATAAGGTTTTTATCTGAATAGAAACAATAATCTTTTTTGTGCCTGTTTGTTAAAGAAGCTTCGCGGGGCTGTGTTTTAAAGAGGGGAAAGCTGTTTAGTGGAGGTTGATTTATCATGTGTTTTATGACTGCTTTGAGCAGTGTTGCTGGAGGAGCATTGACATCAAAGACCCTCATTGTGTTGGGCTTTGAGTGCCACAAAGATACTTTATTGGCCAAGACTTCAAGGAATTGCAGCCTCTGACCAACTGAGCTGTAGGCTAAACAATGAGCACGTCTCGTGACCTCACTATCTTGAGATTTCTTTCTCACAAATTAGCAGCAGCGGAGAGCGTGAGGGGTGAGGTGTAAATAGAAGTTTCTGACCTCCTGTGTGGCAACACTTCCTGCAGCAGAGAAAACATTGTTTTGCTGTGAGGGGACTGACTAAAATGGCATTAGTGCTTTTTTCCCCCAATTATACATTCTTTCTTGAAGACAGTAATTTCTGCTATTTTTATATGTATTGTATTTATTTTATTCTAATCTATTGATACAGCATAGTCTATAAAAAAATGACTTTTGAAAGGCTTTAATAACATTTGCATTTTACAAAGCAGTGAATGTTAACTATGAAAACTTAAATACAAGAAATTGTAAGTGTGTGGGAATCTGGATATGTGTCAACAACAATGATAAAACCTGCTGATAGTAACTCAAATGGAGGAGTGTCCTAAACTCAGTTAACTAACTCTCTAAGAGGAAAAATGTACGATTTCTTTTTTCAAAAGTTTCATATTCTCTATTTAAAGGTGCCCAGACACACCCACAGATTCCCAACATATGATCTTTGTTGAATTATTGTATTTTTTTTTGTTATGAATGAATGCGTCGATAGTTATTTTGCAAATCGTACAAGAACGATTTGCAGAAAATTTTATTGGAAAGTGAGATGAGCTTTGTTTATATATTAGTTTTGTGGCTGATAACTCATATTGTTATTATTTATTAATTTTGTTTGTCTTTTGAATTCCATTTTGAAGCTCTGCTGTAAGTGGCTTTGAACCCGTTGACTTCAAAATGCTGAATGTTGATTTTTCTCAGCAGGTGATCACTGCAAATTAAATCTGCTTGTACTGTAAATGGCATTTCCTATAATCCACTCAATGTCGTACACAGCAGCCATCCCCTTTTTTTGCCAATAACATTGATTTCTGATCAGCTGCGGTAAAACTGGATGCTGCTGATTCAGCTCTGTGTCCGGCTGCAGAGGAGCCTGCTCTGAGCTGGCCTAGACAAGGCAAGGCGAGGCGAGGCGAGGCGAGGCAGGTTTATTTGTATAGCACAATTCTTAATCAATTTAATTCAAACAAAACTATAAGAAGACAGATAAAATCAATCCACAAAACATAAAACACAATCATTAATGAATTACATTAAAAGAGAGGAGGTGGATAAAATCAATCCATAAAAACAGAAATATAATCATTAATTCATTAAAAACAAAGAGTGCAGATAAAATACTTCCAGCTTGTCATACGCACATCTAAATAGAACCGTCTTCAGCCTGGATTTGAACGTTGTCAGAGTTGAGGCCTGTCTCACATCTTCTGAAGGACAGTTCCAGATTTCAGGACTCGAGCAGCAGCGTTCTGGATCAACTGCAGCCGTCTCGCAGCTCGTTTAGAGAGACCAGAGAGCAGGATGTTACAGTCGTCTAACCTGCTGGAGACAAACGCATAGATTAGTCTAAGTCTGGTTTAGACACTATACCTTTGATTTTAGCAATGTTTTCAGATGATAAGAGCTGCTGATGTTATTGACTTTATGTGGCTGTTAAAGTTCAGGTCTGAGTCCATTATTACCCCTATTAACTAATATTCTAGTCTGAAGTGAGATGTTGACTAAATGAGCGAGTAACAAACTGCTCAGCTTTAGAAATCTAGTGGGTAACTCATCAAGGCAACATGTCCATGAAGTCAGATCGGAGATAACGTGTTCGACTGTTTGGTCAGTGACCGGTGTAAAATGTGTCAGCTCTAGGTGTCTAGCTGGCTGCAGGGTTGTCAGGGCTGGAGTTAGAGGAATTATTTTAATCCCTGATTTCACCAAGCTTTCAATATGGTTGGGAAGTCTCATAGGTGATGGTGGAGATGAGAACGATAGTGAAACGTCTCTGGTGGGTGTAGATGCAGCAGGTGGGTCCCAGGCCTGTGATGAGGGCTGTGGTGGTGATGATAGAGGTGATAGAGGTGCTGCTATGACGAGGCAGGAGCTCTTCTCTCACTCCTCTCTTCTCTTGGTGGCAGCACAGGGTCCTGTCCAGGCCTATTCTGATGCCTCAGAGCGTGGAGCAGGTTATCCGTCAGTCGTCTCACTCCACCTCTGTCCAGGTGTGGGCCTTTTCCTTTGAACAGATGGTCGCATTGCTGGAAAAGATTGAAGTTCTGTCCTCTGGACTCACAGACTTTGGACAGCCATGTATTCAACTCCTGTCGATGTTTGGGAGAGGTCCACTGATAGACGTTGGGATTGCCACTTTATCAAGACTCTCAGATATTTTATTGAAGTCTTCTTTTAAGATTTCAGACGGTTCTTTTCTGATGTCCACTGCACCCACGTGCACAATCAGCTGTTTCACCCGTTGATGTTTCACCAGTTCCTCAGCTCGTAGTTTTGTGATGTCAGAGACTGTGGCACGTGGATAGCCGCAAGTAACTATTCTGTTTATGTTTATATTAGATATGGCTTCGTCTCCAAGCACAAGGATATCTTTGACCTTGACACTTTGCACAGTTCTTCTGTCCATCTGCTGCTTTGTACTGACTTCAGCGTTTCTTTAATGCACAGTGACTTCATAGTTTTCTCTCTGTTTGTTAAACTCAGTCACATTTGACTCTGGCAGCGATAAAAATCTGTTCGTTAACTGTATTCTGGGTGATGTTACATATCCTCCATTGATACCAGCATTTTGACTTTGTGTCGGCCAAGGACCAAGTCGATTATAAGTTTCTTTATAGAGTTTTGGAAAGGACACGGTGTCATTTAGCTTTCATTGAAAGTAGCAGCTTTTTCACCTTTTTTCTTTGGAAGTAAATGTGGACTTCTTCCCTCTGGATTCCACTGGGAGCATTGGTGGTGGCAGCAGCTCCTCCCTGCCTGCAGGTTTGTGTATTTCTAGCAGATTTTTGTGGATGATACACTACCTTAAAGACCAGGCCTACTGTTAAATGATCACTTGTGATGATTCAGGTGATTGAAAGCACACTGTGACGGACAAGAATGTGTTTGAGAGGCTCCAGTTGGGTATAAATGGCACAGTGATGTGACCTTTCCTCGCGTTTGTATTCTGTGCTTGGCCGGTGAAAAGAACATGTATAGTCGCAGCTTAAATACCTCTCATACCTGTTGGCACCAGAGAGCGCTGTGCGAACAACTGTAGATTTATCTCACAGCTGCAGGCCATGTTGCTCCTTGTCCACTGCTTTTAGCAAACACAACGCAAAGCGTGCTCGGTGTGAAAACTAAATCAGAACTGCCATCATTATTTTGTGCTTAACCTGCCTGTGTGTCAGTATGTGTCCCTGTGCTGATTTGTGTGAGTCGGGGCAGAAGAGAGGGGAGGTGGCGCGAGGGATGATAGATGCTGGTGTGAGGGTTCAAGCAGGAGATGACATTTACGGCCCTTGTTCAGGCCTGGCTTACCGCGGCCTGGGGGGCCTTTCGCAAGCGAACAAAACTTCAGGGGCCAATGGGAACTGCGTTTTAGCTGTAAAAGAAGGGTGACCACAAATGGCTCAGATATGCCCTTTAATACAAACAGAATAATTTATGGCCGTAAAGCCACGTATCCCTCTGGAAAACACTCGAGGAATCTTATGGTTCCTGAAATAGAATGAAGTTTATAATGTGTAGAACTGCAGCCATGTTTCTATTTTGTAACTCAAGAGTGTTGAAATTAATAAGTTTTATCAGCAATTCATAGTTTTAGTCTTTTAATCAAGAAAAAATCCAAATAATAGTGTTTCCAGCTTATTCAACGTGTGCATTTTCTGCTGTTTCATGTTTTATACGACTGTAATTTGAATATTCAATTAAGTCTGACAAAAGAAAGCGTATTTGTTGAACACATTTCCCACAGTTTTGTTGACATGTTACATAAGTGGTAGATTAGATTTAGAGACTTTCTTTATTTGTCATTGCAGATTTACACAGCACAGTGCTCATCAGAATGAAATGTTGTTGCAGTAGTCTCAAAAAAGAACAGAGACAAAATAGGGAATATATGTGTAAAATAATACAAATAGGTGTGAATGGGAGAAAACATAAATAAAAGATGCTGCCTTAACAGGATCAGAATCAGGATCTCGTAGAAAAACACAAGGCATCAACATTTAGTGCACGCCGTCTCCTTATCTGTATCAGTCTGTTTATTGAGTCGGTACACAGTAGCTGTGTGTTTTATGGATGGTTAAGTAACATCCCTGTTTTTTGTCATCTTGCTATTGACACACCAGGATATCACCACTCACTCTGCTCGCATCACAATGTTCCCGAGAGCGTCAGCCAAACTCCAGTGTGGCTGAAAAACAAACCTGTCTGCTGAGTTCTTCTCTTATCGGGACGCTGTGACACCACTTAAGTGCCGTTTTACTTTGACTCTTGGCGTTTCCCTGTTTTTCCACTCACTTCCTCTGCGTGACCCTCCCCCTTCAGAGAGAGAACCGTAACCCCTCCTTTTGCAGGATTTAGCTTGCCCATATTCCATGTCAAAGGTCGTGGCCCAGATGTCAGAGCTTCCCCCCTTTCAGAGCTCCTCTCTCGCATAATTACGACAGGCCCATTGTATTGCGGGCCTGGGTGGATGTGCAAACTACATGCCTGCTCCTTTTTAGGTGGACACCGAGGCTTAACAAACTGCAACAAAAACTCCGGATAACAAGGTGGACGTTGTACGAAAAGTCTGGGAATTTAGTTTTTATATCTCTTTGGAGCTAACAAGTAGAGATAGATGCTGCTTCTTTTAATTCTGATCATCTCCCTGCTTAGTGCTGACACAGTAAACATTTATCTACTCTGCACAAAGACCAGCAACTCATGAGTACACTTTATCTTGCTAATGAGTGGGTCATTATATGTTTTTTTCTTAGTCTTTGTAAATAACTATTTAGAATCCTGAGCAAAAAAAAAAGAAAAAGAGGCTCATCTCATATTCCACACCCATGACCCCGGATTCTTTCAGAGTTTTATCTCAGCCTGACCTGCCCTGCTGTGGCTCCAGTGAAACTCCTCGGGGCTGCATGGGGGTGCAAGTACCGTAGCTCCACCCCTTCTAAACTTTGCTAACCTCCACGGTACACAAATTCATCTCCTGTGGTCTCCCTCTTTTCTTGAGCCCCACAGAAGTGTGGTTGTTTTCTGCAGGACACGCGGGACTCGAATAATAGCATTACGCTATTTTGTTTTACTGTGGAAAATGCATGTATTTACATTTGTTCTCTATGTTTCTATATGTTTCATAATGTCTGCAAGAAACTGTGCAAAACTTGGCACAACAAATGCAATTTTTCACAACACAACAGCCAGCATGGAAGGCGATACCATTCTCACTTATTTAAAGCTTTCAGATCAGAAACTTCTTGCTGTCAACAAACTCTTGAAAATCTCTTGTCTCACTGGATCATGATTAAGCATTTGAGAAACATTAAGCAGAGAGGTTGTGGCTCCTGCTACGTTTCTTTTACAGTCTGTAAAAGTCGCCATTTATGAAGCACAATAGTCATTTTGCATGCAACATTTAAATTAGATCATTATTCTTTCAGGGTAAAAGGGACATTTGGTCAGCTGGCTATTGTTCAGCAGAGGGTCTTTAGGGTCACTGAGGCCTGCAACTGCTGTTGACCATCAGCAGTGCTCCTCCCAGGGGATTGAGTCTTTTGATTTAACCCTGAGATTCAGGACCTTAGTAGAAGTGGCCGCTGACCACTGACCAGCAGGCCTGACTGGGGGTTTCTTATTTGCAATCAAAAGGCTGGGGGGTGACAGGGTGATGGATAGTGGAGCTCTTCTGTTCTGCTGCCCGAGTGCTGTTGAAACTGACCAAAGGACTCGCAGCACCGAGCATCTGTCGCACTCCCTCACCTCTCGTTCCCACCACACCATCAGTCCAGAGAACCTCCGTGACCCCACACCCACACAGTCCAGCTCTTTCAAACAGCACCCCTGCTTCCTGTTGGCTGCAGGAGTCACGTCCTCATCTGGCACGCTGTTGTGGCTCATGTTGCATTATTAGATCTATTTCTAAGCGATGGTGATCATAAATCTTTGTTTCCTAAAGTCATACAGTGAATGTGTTCATTTACAAATTTTGTTTCTCTTTTTTTTTTCTCTTAATGAAGACCCAAGGAGGAAGTACCACGTTAAACTTCTGGCTTACAATGTTGTTGGAGATGGATACCAAGCAGACCAGACCATCAGCACCCCTGGATGTGTCTGTAAGTCCCTCAATATACCGGAAAAGACCATTTTCAGGGTGTTTTAGGTGCAATGGTGTCTTGTGTTTTTACGTCAAGCCAAAGTGGAAAAAATAACATTCATTTTAATGCACTTCTTAGCTGTCCGAGATCGCCTGGTGCCCCCTCCACCTCCGCCACACAACGTGTACGCAAAGACCAACAGTTCGACTGCTGTCTTTCTGCACTGGGGCAGACCAGCCTTCACCTCCAGCAATGCAGTTAACTACACCGTCCGCTGCAACCCAGTCGGCCTGCAGAACGCCTCGCTGGTGCTCTACCTGCAGACGTAAGAATCTGTTTTCACTCATTCATCACTCACAAGTATTATGGCCTTTAAAAGTTGTGGCTCCTATTATTATTACTAATTGTGCAGCAGTTGTTTAGTGCAGCTTTAATGTATTTCTGGAGAAGACCTTTTCTAGTTTTCCTGTCTGGATAGGGTTTCACGGAAAGTCAAACAAGATGCTGTATGATGGCTTCGTTTGTCTCTATATTGTTGCGTAGTTTGACATTTTCTCAGCTGAATCACGTCTCCCGACACTTTTCTCACACAAACACGTGGGAAAGTTTACAAGCCTATCTTTGTGTTGAGTCCTTCCCCCTCACTGCCATCACAGCTCCACATCACCACCTTCTGGTCATTTTTAAAGGACCACTTCAAGCCGAATTACACTCAATATCACGAGTGACCACAGTATAGTTTTGTTTTTTTGTTTTTTAAGAGGCATGTCTGTTGAAATTATTGAACTTTCAGTGCTGAGAGTTTATATTTTATCAGTGTGACCTGCACACATGTGAATCACTCTGAACATACAGCTGGATAAATAGTCCCTCCTCCAGGCCAAAGGGGGTAAATGCTTTCAGTAGCCTGGTTCTTTAAGTGCCTATTTGTGTTCTGCAGGAATGAGCAGAACCTCCTGGTGCGAGACCTGGAGCCCAACACCAAGTATGAATTTGCCATTCGCCTGCATATTGACCAGCTGTCCAGCCCCTGGAGCCCTGTGGTCTATCAGAGCACTCTCCCTGAAGGTGAGCACAGAAACATTACAATATCATTCATATTAGAACTTTAGTTATTGTTGTTAGCATGTCGCTCCAGTTTTCCACGTTAAAGTTTTTACTTTTTTTCCTCGGTCCCCCTCCCAGCTCCCATGCTGCCACCTTCCAGCGTCAAAGTGACTCTGATCGAGGAGGACACGGCGCTGGTTTCGTGGAAGCTCCCAGAAGAATCCAATGTGGCTGTGACTCACTACACAATCCTGTACGCCTCTAGAAATGCCTGGATAGCCGGTGAATGGCAAGTTCTGCAAAGAGAAGGTAAGGAGGAGTGGAAAGAGGTGCACGATTAAAGAGGCAGTACAGTTGTGCAGCGGACAAATAGTCTATTGGAAATCAGTAACTCATTTCATTCTCTAATCTGTCTCTTTTCATTGTGATCTCAGAATTAGCCAGAACAGGTGGAGCTCACTGCTTTTGTCTCACTGATCAGAGGTTTAATGTGATTACAACAAAGACTTTCATTTACGTGGTTAATGATCATTTTAACCACGTCTAGAAATAAACAGTGTGTAGTTCTCTTAGTTTTTTGTGCCAAGCTGCCCATCTGAATGTGTATGGTCAAGCATAATTCACAAATGTCTGTAAAGTTGTAGAAAGAAGTTAGCTGGGAGACAGTGTTGTTATTGTAGGTTGAATTTAAATTTAGAATCATTGTGTTGTCAGGCTCAGTGTGAAAAGCAGGAGAGTTCATTTGGCTATTTCACAAGATCAGAATCTACAAATGTACAAAATGTGGAGTCATACAGCATCTTTGTATGTGAAATCAGAGGTAAAAAGTAAAGTAGTTCGCATTAGAGACTATAAAGCTGTTGTTGTATCTGATTTGTGAGGCAGCAAAGGTGTTTTTAGGAGCAGATGACCCCAGGAAACACACAAAAAAGACCCACTATTCCCCCTTTGCCACTGGCGAAGGGGTCAAAAGTGAAGCCATTCACAAAACCCCTCCAGCTCAGCCCAGCCCCCGATTACCTCAAACTGAGCACCCACCCCCCTGCAGGCCCTGCTGGGACTCTGGTGGTGTGGAGACTGGGTGGTACTGGTTAGGGGAATGTGTATGGCTCTGATCCTCTGACCCCCGGGTCTTTCCCTCTGAAGCTCCGCTCACACAGCACCTCTCACGAGGATTGTTTTTATGCTTCTCTTAAACTGCGTCACAGAGTTCGGTTCTTCACAGATCGTTTTAACATTTGTACATCAAAGGAGTAGTAAAACACTTTTGGAAATATGCTCGTTTCTGTTTTTGGTTTTGGTAATTTGTTGTTTCGGTTTTTGTTTGATTTGAACATGTTAAGTTCCCTGTGGAGGGAGCAGGGCTGTTCCCGTGTTTGAAACTATGACTGCAGCTTCATAGTTTGTGGACAGACAAGATAGGAGTTAAAGAAAACGCCTGTATTTCCCAAAATGTTTAAGTATTCTCTAAATGTTATCTCTAAATGAAGTTAAAGACCCCACTGCAGTACTAAAAAAAAAATCATAAAACATCCCCAGATGGTTTCTAATTCGTTCCCTAGATGTTCCACTGTAAATGGTTTCCTTGTTCTAATTAACAGAGCTTTTAATTACTTATTTCATTTTGCATTCAGCTGTCTCACAGTGGAGGCATAAAATATCTGATCATGAGTAATCAGATGAAATTTATTTTTTAAATTCTAGGAGCAATAGTTTTGTTTGGGTTGTTGATCAGATTTAGATCTATGTTACATAGTGCCTCTATATGGTTCCTTACATGTTGAATTCCTTTTGAAAACACATCTTAACCCACAGTCCACTTAACTCCGTAGCTCTCACAGGCTTCAATACTAATTACTATGTGACCTAAGTGTGTAATATACATGTGGATGTGGTTGAAAGATCCTCACAAGGCTAGTAGATGGGACTCGACTTAAGATCGTGTCCAGATGCTATTAGACACATTACCTGATGTGTGAATATCAGACAACACAACTCACACTGATATTTGTACATGAGGACTGCAGTCATCTCGTTCAAACATGAGTAAAAAAGTTTAGTCTGATGATCTGTGAGACTTTAGGGATGTTTTCTGAGATGAATCAAAACGTCTGTTGCCGTATAGCCGTTATAAACTACTCAGATGTTAACACACCAGTCTCCATTCAAAACCTGTCTGTTTTAAGGTTTACTTTGATGTAAGCAAAATACCTACAAGTTGAAACCCTTGAATTATCTTTAACATTTCCACAAAAACCCCTTTTCAACAGTGTATTTACAAAGTTAATTCTCTCACCAGGGAGCATCACCATGGCGCTGCTGGAGAACCTGAAGCCCGGTCTGGTGTACTTGGTGAAAGTTTCTGCGTCCAACAGCATGGGGGATGGACCGTTTTCTCACGCGGTGGAGCTGACGGTGCGAACAGATCTCTCCTCAGGCCATGATCACCGGCTCTCTCGTGGCTCCACACACTCAACAGGTCAGTGACATCACGCTAACAGAACCACGTGATGCTTTACGATTGGAGATTGTTGAAACTGGCCGATCACGAGGTGCAATCTGAACGTGTTACTTTGATCCTTCGCAGCCTTTTCTGACGGCTTCTACCACCTGGACCAGAAGTCGATGACGGGTATCAGCGTGGGCGTCTGCATCGCTCTCATCTGCATCATAATCTGTGCTTTCATCATCATCTGCAGAGGCAAAAATAGGTACGTGGTACCTCTGAACAGTGCCCTCCAGTATCCCAGTTGTTCTCTGAGAGGTCTATCTCCTATAACGTTGTGTTTGTTTCCCTCCAGGAAATTTTCGGCTGTTAAAACGTACAGAGAAGGGGTGAACGCATCTGCAGCTGCTGCAGCACATCTGGGCTCTGAGGGGCAAGCCGAGAGCGCTGATGTGACCGTGCCAATGATGAGTCAAAGTTATTTCATTGATGCCAAGGTACAGTGTGACACATGGTTACCAAAAGCCTTAGAAATGTTGTTTTTCTGACCCGGAAAACGTTTGGAAATGTGTAATATTCAACTTTTGGGAAATACAAATCCTAAATAAGGATACTAATTCTAAAAATCCATTGATCTTAATAATAATGCAGGTTTACAGTTTGATATGGTTTGCAAAGGTTGTTCGGAGACGCTGATTTAACGCAAACTTACTAAAATGTAGTTGCAATAGTAGTTAGGCTCCTGAGTGTGTCTGCTTCAATCATCCTTATTTTACAGTGTTACTTTTCAAATACTAGAAAATGCTTTTTCTCGTAGGGTGGAACAAATCTCATCATCAATTCTCTCGGCCCTGTTCAGTCCAGTGCTGAGAAGAAAAGAAAATGGTTTTCCTTTGGCAGTAACGTGAAAAAGGATTGCACACCAATGCAGGCAAGATTAAGCATGATTAGACCTGCTCTTTATCAGCAACATGTACACTGGTAGATCTGAAAGAATCCCACATGGCACTGCTTTCCCAGGCCTCTCAGTCATCACCATAACCATTTATAGACCAGCTACCTGATTGGTGGTGATTGTTAAAGGGTTAAACAGCTTGAAAATTTGGACCAGAAAGATTTCAGAAGCTCTCGATTTGGATGAATTCACATGAAAGCAGCATAACATCAGGATAACAGAACATCAGGATCAGCAGCAGCTTTCTGTAATTCTAAAACTGATCCATAAGCACTCAGACTAACAAGAGAAACTTTCTCTGTGTTGCAGAATGTGAGACACAGCGCTGCGTCTTATCATCACGGAGCCACACTGTTGACCTACGAGGAGGAGTTTTCCATGTCTCAGAACCAGCCCCCGACCCTGCAGGCCCTGCTTGGGCATCCCGGCGACGCAGAGGGATCTTCTAACAGCGAAGGCAGCCACGAAACCGGCGACTCGGGTCGCTACTCTCACGACGAGACGGAGTTGACCAACCTGTCTGGTCCCAGCAGCCGGCCGCCGTCTCTGACAGCGGAGGACGGCGGAGATTCAGACTGCAGTGGGCCCGCTGAAGAGCCGAGCGAGCTGTCGGAGGAAAGTCCGACTGACGTGAAGGTGATGGAGTCTGTCGATACCAGCTGCTGTGAACATGAAGCCCAGAGCGTTTCGCAGTCTGCACTTTCTGTCTAAGTGTGTAGGCGCGTGTGTGTGAGTGAGAGAGAGTGTGTGTGTGTAGGCAGTGGTGTACTAGCAGAAAAGTTTAACTGTTGAGCAGATCATATCACAGAAATCTGTCCGTGCTCACCGCAGCTTCGTTTTTGGTTATTTATACTCCATGCCAGGGGAGGCAAAGGAATATTAAAGGGGTATCTTAGGACACATGCTCATTC